TGACCAAAGTTACCATAGATTATCTGTTAATTACCAAAATTACTGAAGATTCTGGTAACTTTGGTAAATTGCCAGTAGTTTAGCAACCCTAGTGCCATTGGTTTATTATTTATTATAGCGATAATATAACTAAGGTTATTTGAATCATTGGAGTAAAGCTATCAGGGAATCTGATTGAATGCTGTCATTTATCATTCTGTCATATTTGCTGATGTTGATGTAGGCTAGGTGATAAGGTTCTTATGGGCTGAGTATACACAGGCAGCCCAATTCTGATATTTCTTTCTTTTTGACCAATCACATCAGATGTTTTCACGGATGTTTTCCAGAGCTGATCTGATTGGTCAAAAGGCCAATTAGTGAAAAAAAGATCTGAATTTGATTGCCTGTGTAAACTCCGCCATGGAGGCTGAGACTGCTACCATACTTTCCCTCCGCTCTGCTATAGATTGGGAATCCTAATCACTGTTGAGTCATCATTAATTGATGTGCTTTGGCTCTGGTGAATTCAGACCCCTTGACTTTTTCCACATTTTGTTACGTTACAGCCTGATTCTAAAATTGATTAAATTGTTTTTTTCCCCCCTCATCAATCTACACACAATACCCCATAATGACAAAGCGAAAACAGGTTTTTAGAAATGTTTGCAAATTTATAAAATTAAATTTAAAATAAGGCTGTAATGTAACAAAATGTGTCAGAACCTCAACACCTGGAGGGAACAACACACTGGGGTGGGAAAGATGGGAGGTACGAGGAAAGTTTCAGCTACCTTGCCTTCCTCCTCTTCTCCTCCTCCTCCTCTTTTTCCTCTGAGTACCATCAAAAGGTTGAAATGAGACAAACCACAATCATTAATGCTTCATTCATTTATTTACAGATTGGAAAACAACCCAAAAATAACATTTTTTATTGTTTGGTCCCTCAAGGCTCAAATAGGTCTGGGTCAACAAAGGCAAAGTTGTTTATAAAGCTCTACTTTTTTAACTATTTATTTGAGAAATTGAGCAGTTATAACTAACAAGCAGGAATACAGAAATATATATATATTTTCTTCCATGGAAATAAATCTCACAAAATCGTAGCATATCAGTTAGCATTGCATGACTCCTAAACGAAGGTAGATTTCATAGAATACAAAACCTCTAGAAGTACCAGTGCTGATTTTAAATGTCTATGTTCTGCCTCAAACAAAGTGTCGACCGACAACCATGGAATCATTTGGTACATTGGTTCTGAGAAAACATGGAGGAATGTATTAAAACTGTTAATTATCATGCACACCTATGCACAGTAATGCATCAATGCATTGGACAGGCTACTTGTTAGCATACAAAAAGTATTTGACCAGTGTCCCCAGTTACGTCTACACCTAATAAAAAGATAGACTACTCTAGCTTCTGCAACATTGTGCTTGTATCTCACGACTAAGTTAATCTTTGTACAAATGTACTAATTTGTTCGCCCCTCTAGTCTTTTTCATTAAGTTGGTGTTATCAACCCCTTTCTTCCATCACTTCAACTAAATGCCAGAAATGATGCACTATTCCCCTCACTTGTGACAAGAATCAGAGAATGCTAAGTAACCAGTAACCTCAAAGGCATCTGATCTTGTTTGTTCCTAAGGTGACTGGCTGAAGGATCTGTCTTCTTCCTTCCTTGATGATGTTCCAACACCTCCATAAAAGGCACCTGGTAATGATACAAAATGGTGCTGAAACATGTGAAGACCCTGGGTTTCCCATGGTGACATAATGTGCACTGATGTGTGGGCTATGTGAAGGAGACAAAAAGGAAGGATATCACTAGCCTCTCCACACTAGAAGACCAATTCAAGCCCTCTCAATACCTTTCATCTTGACCATTGTTCGTCTAATGAGGGAAGGTGCCTTCTATCTGTGAGTCCACTCTGCTATAACGGGGAGCTATCTGATCTCCATGTTAGAGGAAACAAATCTGATTCCCCAGGGCTGTGAAGTAGCACGATCACACCCAAACATAGAGAAATGACAGCTAGATAAAAAGTAGCCACCCTTTGCCTTGATGACAGCTCTGCACACTCTTGGCATTCTCTCAACCAGCTTCATGAGGAATGCTTTTCCAACAGTCTTGAAGGAGTTCCCACATATGCTGAGCACTTGTTGGCTGCTTTTCCTTCACTCTGCGGTCCAACTCATCCCAAACCATCTCAATTGGGTTGAGGTCGGGTGATTGTGGAGGCCAGGTCATCTGATGCAGCACTCCATCACTTTCGGAGGGGTTGGGATAAAGCAGAAGTCAGATTTCGGTTGGACCTTGTGTACAATTGACGAATAAAGTGATCTTAATCTTAATTGTGTTACACCCTCAGCAAGAGGCCAAGCAGAGAGGTCTACTACTAAGGGAGGGGGACTCCCCTTAGTTTTTTATTTATATTAAACACCTCTTCCTGCAGCATTTTCCTCTGAACGTAAAGCAATAACTAGCCTCTGAGGAAACTGGGGATAAAGTTTACAGTAAGGTGCTGTTAAACTAAAGTTTATTTGGAATTACGGTAACATACTGTACCTTTTATTACAGTAATTTACAGGTAACTGCTGCCAGTAAATTACTGTAAAAACAACAGGATTTTTTTTACAGTTTGGGTCAGAGAGCTGGGAGCCAGAGCTGCTGCTGCTGACTATAGGATGTGGGAGAAGCAGCACACTCCCAGCCACTACACAGCTAAGTGCAAAATATTTTTCAAGGTAATTCTGGAACGGGCATGACATTCCTTGCCTTCTTTTGGCCCATAAAACATAATCTGATAATGTGGTTATACTTGAATGGCAGCATTGGGTTACAAAGTCAGAGGATAAAATGTGGAATTTGCTACAAATAACGTCTTTGTTCTGGTTTGGAAGTGCAGTCCTTATAGCCCAGGGGGATGCGCTGCTGCATTGTCAACTTTCACAGGAGAAGGAGGGGGAAACAACAGAATATAAGCAAACAAAAAAAGCCTGTTCGGTGAACCCATGCACGAGAAGGCATGCCTTTCTTATAAAGAAATTCAATAAACGCAAATGTCTGCGAGAGCAACATCGGCCCCATTCAAAGCCTTAATTTAAACCATTACAGCTATAGACCTGCACTAACCAACACTGTTGGGGGAGGCCAAGGGAGCCTGCATTTGATATGTGCTCCTAACAGAGTTGTCAGTAACACTATTGAGATTCCTCTGTTTGCAGACAAGGTTTTTCTGGCACAGAAATTAGGTAAAACCTGTCATTTAGCCTCCTGAGTGGCGCAGCGATCTAAGGCACTGCATCGCACTGTTGCGGCGTCACTACAGCCTGGGGTTCGATCCAGGGGTTTGACCGGGAGGCTTTACTTGGCTCATCGCGCTCTAGTGACTCCTTGTGGCGGCCCAGGTGCCTGCAGGCTGACTTCGGTTGTCAGTTGAATGGTGTTTCCTCCGACACATTGGTGGGGCTGGCTTCCGGGTTAAGCGAGCGGGTGTTAAGAAAAGCGGTTTGGCGGTTCATGTTTCGGAGGACGCATGACTCGACCTTCGCCTCTCCCGAGCCCGTTGGGGAGTTGCAGCGATGAGACAAGATCGTAATTGGATTGCAATTGGATATCATGAAATTCTATTTTATAAACCTGTCATTTAACTCTCACCCTGGCCTCCTATAGGCCACTTATTATTGTCACAAGCAGAGTGAAATATAAAACGAGCATAGACGCATTTAAATCAAATCTGTCAACAATAAATACAATGGCATTGAACAATATGTCCTAACAACCATCACTTTTCTGGAAAGCAGTTTTCCCCTTTAAGAACATATTTGAATAGAAACATGAGCCCAGACATTCAGCGACAAGGACACTTGATGAAGGATAATGCTCTGATCCAGAGTGGATATGACAAGGCTGTCCTAATATATTCAGTGTCCAAATTAGGAGAGCCTCGGCCCTCGTCATATCCATTTAATGACAGTGTATGAGAAACAATTAGTATTCTCCATCAAATTCATGGTCCACTGTTTTTCTGTTCCTAGTACCATAGATTCTGATTAAATTAAATCACGATTCAACAGCAATCTGTCCGAAAACATTAAATCATACATTATTACAATTTACGGAATTGCTTCAATTAACGACCAATACGGTACTGAAGTAGTGGATTACTATATTCAGATGTCCCGAGAAACATGTTCGAACTAATATGGGGACAATGTGAAATTTGGCTTTTAAAAAATCTCAGGGATACCTACTCATTTGTAAAACAATTATGATGACTTCTTCAAGAGTCAAAATGCCACATGGAAAGAATATGATATATGTCAATGGCCAAAGACAACAGATATCCAGATCCATAGGTAACAAATGAAGTGATGAAAAGTCATGTAAAACATAGATAAACCTATTTTGATATTCAGCCAGGACTGGCCTATAGCGCCTAGGTAAACTTTGTATCCAGATCTTGAGATGACTTCAAGTCTAAAAGCACCTGGTTTCACAGTGGATAGACTAGTGCAGAGGGCATACTGGCTCTTAAAAGGAAAATCCACTGTAAAAATATTTTGTATTTTTTTCACTAATCGACTGTTGATACTGTCCCAAGAAGCAAAATGTCACCGGCCACATCATCATGATGACACTTTGCTTCTTGAAAGGCCAATATCTTGAAAACATGACTGCTGACATGCAAAACATTTTGGGACTGTATCAACAGTGGACTAATGAAAATAATACCAAAATATAGTTTTTGAGTGGAGTTTCCCTTTAACATCGTCACTTCTCTCAGAGGAGAAAGGAATCACACCAGTCAGAGACACTACGGTACTGTAGATACTATCTAGGGGTGGATTCTTCAGCTAGTCTACATGATACTGTATAGTGTAGCCTGTTTTCATGTTACGGGTCTGGAACCTGCTAATTCAGACCGATACAGAGACATCGTAGTTACCCGGCGCAGACTGAAATCAAATCAAACACAAAGATCAAGGAGGAGTGGAGGAGGACTGGAGCCATGCTACACTGGGCTATGGTCGGGGGAGGCATGAGTATCCGTCACCACACACTCAGTCACCACCGCCGTGTCCTTTATCTGTCGCAGGCCCGTGTACAGCCGCTCATCCAGGGTGGCGCTCAGCTTGTCCGTCAGCTCGGCTGTGATGGTCTGTGGGCCGTAGCCCTTGTCAGGGGGCTGGGGGGGCTCATCAGGGGGCTCAGGGGGGTGCCCCGCCAGCCTAGGGTCCTCCTGGGGGTTGGGCTGCTCCCCTAGCAGCCCCTCTCTCTCAGGGACAGGGGGAGGGGAACAGGATGCCCTCCCGTTGTCGTCTCTGATGGTCACGGTACTGCTGAGACTCTCTCTCCTCCTGTCTCCTTCCTCCACCTCGGCATCTCCTGCCCCTCCCACCACCACCGCCTCGGCCTTGGGCGTCTGGGGGGTGCTGGGGACCCCCTCGCTGGCCTCCTCATCAGGCGCACTGACGATGCGTGGAAGCGTGCTGTGGTAGCCTGTGTCCAGCGGGTAGTTGACGCTATCGCCTCGTCGGAGGGGGTTCCGCTGCCTCTCGAACGAGTGATGCTGGTAGCGAACGCCTGGGTCGCTGTACTGCTTGTGGCGCTGCCACTGCTTGCGGAGGTGGATGCGCGAGCGATGTTTCTTCGGCGTCTCCTGCTGGTCAAACTGGGGGTCGTGGCGGAGGAACTCGTGGAAGAGCGCGTCCGTCTTCTCGTCGATGCTGTAGTCGCGGCGGTGAATTGATAAGGGGGGATGGGGGTGCGGCTGCGCCTCTTGCGGGGTGAACATCTGACCATACGGAGACCAGCCCAGGGGTGACCTGTCCGTTTCTATGGTGACGCCGCCCGTCGCACCCGCCGGCGTCTCCTCATCTGGCTCTTCCTCGAAGATGCGGGCCTCGAAGCTCTCGCCCACCGTGCCAGTGCTCCCTGCACTGGTGAAGTAGTGTCTCTTCTCCAGGGCCAACCTGTCCATACTGCCACTACTGCCAAACAGTCTCAGCTCCTCTGGTGCCCGTGATGGAGCCTCTATAGACGTATAGCCACTGTCCATCTGCATTAATTTACGGTTCCCTGACTCCCCGTCACTGCCCCTCTCTGACTCCAAACTGTCCTGCTTCCCCCCTTTCTCCTTCTCTCCCATCCCTTCATCCACGGGCAGCTCCACGTCCCCCTCGGGCTCATCCCCGTCCCCGATGTCCTGGGAGGGGTAACTAGGCAGCCCCCCCCTCTTGGTCCGCCCCCCCAGGGAGCAGACACTGTCAGCGTCGCTGCGGTTGTTGCTGATCTGGTCTGAGGAGCCGTACTGCTCCAGGGAGGACCGGAGCGTCCAGATGTCTCTGTACAGGGCCTGGTGGTCTGATGTCGAGCTCTCCTGTCTACAGTCCCCCTGGCTCGCTGGCTCGTCCTGGGGCTCCGGGGACAGGCCGATCACCTCCGGCCTCTGGCCCCTGCTGCAGCTGGGCTCCACCACCACCTCCACCTCTAACCTGTGGTGACACACACACACAAGTACGAAGACAGGCGCACGCATACACACACACACACACACACAGTACAAGAGTCAGTCACAGTGCACCCTCATGACGCCCATACACACATCTGATGTCTGAAGTCTGATGTTTCCAGCCGCTGTGATTACAAGTGGTCACCATGACTTGCTATGGTAGTAGCATGTTTTCCACAAACCACTGAACTGCAATGCACCAATGTCATGTAATAATAATAATAATAATAATATGCCATTTAGCAGACGCTTTTATCCAAAGCGACTTACAGTCATGCGTGCATAATTTTTTTTTGTGTATGGGTGGTCCCGGGGATCGAACCCACTACCTTGGCGTTACAAGCGCCGTGCTCTACCAGCTGAGCTACAGAGGACCACATGTGCTTTGCAAATGTGTTGAATTTCCCTACATTGTGATCTTACTGGTCACAGTTAGTTAAATATCGATTAGAAGCATGACATACTGTATGGCTTGCATTATGTTAGCATAATGAAGAAACATGAATACTATCTGCTTCCAGCACTGTAGAGGAAACAAATATGGATTGGCTTTGATTATTACTTAAATGCGGTTCATATACCTGGCACCCCAATGGTGGAACCAGCTTCCCCCTGAAGCTAGGACAGCAGAGTCCCTGCCCATCTTCCGAAAACATCTGAAACCCTACCTCTTCAAAGAGTATCTTCAATAAACCCACAGCACCCCCTCAGTACCCCTCCTCCCCATCCAGCAAAAAAACATGCCATTCGTAAACAAACACTTGCATCAGCGATGGAATGGGCTTGTTAAGCAGCTGTGGGTAAAAGTTGCCTGTAGGCAGATCTAGGATCAGCTTACTCTCCCCAAATGCTGACCTTAACAGGAAATGCAAAACTGACCTTCGATCAGTGTCTAGAGGCAACTGTGACTAATTCATCCGTTTAGCAGAGAGGCGCTAGCTCCCGTAGTGATGACGGAGGCAAAGCAGTGAGGTGGAAGGATGGCGAGGGAATTAAAGATACCTGCCGAGGGAGTGTGGTGGCGTGGAGGGGGAGGTGTGGGGCAGGAGGCAGGCCGAGGCGGAGACGGAGGGGCGGTAGGTGGCGTCCTGGGTGCGGGCAATGTACTGGATGAGGTCAATGTGGTGGGCGTCGCTATCCTCCTGGTCCATGCTCTCACTGGCAGCGCGCTGCCGCTGGAACTGCCTCCTCTTAGGGGACCCTGACACACAGAGACAGGAGGACCTTAGACATTAGTCTGAGGGTACAGAGGGACATGGGATGGCAAAGGACGTTAGCACAAACATTCACCATAGTGAATGTTCAGCATATTGGAGTGACATCTGAGGCGTTAGCATCAAAATAGATCTGGAGGTGACATGCGTCACAATGATGTCATGAAGAGATCCCAGCAGGCTTTGAGATATTTTGGGGGTGTTAGTCCTGTGTGCTCTGTTGTTCGCTGAGTATAGGGGAAGCGTGAGAGAGAGCGGTATGTGTGTGAGGGGATCTGTGGGGAGGCTTCAGTTAGACTCACAATGCCTTGGAAGAGAAGAGCCCTGCGTCATAAAGCCATCTGTTAGAGTGTGAGCACAGTGTGAGAGCCCTGTGTACAGTGAGGGAAAAAAGTATTTGATCCCCTGCTGATTTTGTACGTTTGCCCACTGACAAAGAAATGATCAGTCTATAATTTTAATGGTAGGTTTAATTGAACAGTGAGCGACAGAATAACAACAAAAAAATCCAGAAAAACGCATGTCAAAAATGTTATGAATTGATTTGGATTTTAATGAGGGAAATAAGTATTTGACCCCCTCTCAATCAGAAAGATTTCTGGCTCCCAGGTGTCTTTTATACAAGTAACGAGCTGAGATTAGGAGCACACTGAGTGCTCCTAATCTCATCTTGTTACCTGTATAAAAGACACCTGTCCACAGAAGCAATCAATCAAACAGATTCCAAACTCTCCACCATGGCCAAGACCAAAGAGCTCTCCAAGGATGTCAGGGACAAGATTGTAGACCTACACAAGGCTGGAATGGGCTACAAGACCATCGCCAAGCAGCTTGGTGAGAAGGTGCCAACAGTTGGTGCGATTATTCGCAAATGGAAGAAACACAAAATAACTGTCAATCTCCCTCGGCCTGGGGCTCCATGCAAGATCTCACCTCGTGGAGTTGCAATGATCATGAGAACGGTGAGGAATCAGCCCAGAACTACACGGGAGGATCTTGTCAATGATCTCAATGCAGCTGGGACCATAGTCACCAAGAAAACAATTGGTAACACACTACGCCGTGAAGGACTGAAATCCTGCAGCGCCCGCAAGGTCCCCCTGCTCAAGAAAGCACATATACAGGGCCGTCTGAAGTTTGCCAATGAACATCTGAATGATTCAGAGGAGAACTGGATGAAAGTGTTGTGGTCAGATGAGACCAAAATCGAGCTCTTTGGCATCAACTCAACTTGCCGTGTTTGGAGGAGGAGGAATGCTGCCTATGACCCCAAGAACACCATCCCCACCGTCAAACATGGAGGTGGAAACATTATGCTTTGGGGGTGTTTTTCTGCTAAGGGGTCAAGACAACTTCACCTCATCAAAGGGACGATGGACGGGGCCATGTACCGTCAAATCTTGGGTGAGAACCTCCTTCCCTCAGCCAGGGCATTGAAAATGGGTCGTGGATGGTTATTCCAGCATGACAATGACCCAAAACACACGGCCAAGGCAACAAAGGAGTGGCTCAAGAAGAGGCACATTAAGGTCCTGGAGTGGCCTAGCCAGTCTCCAGACCTTAATCCCATAGAAAATCTGTGAAGGGAGCTGAAGGTTCGAGTTGCCAAACGTCAGCCTCGAAACCTTAATGACTTGGAGAAGATCTGCAAAGAGGAGTGAAACAAAATCCCTCCTGAGATGTGTGCAAACCTGGTGGCCAACTACAAGAAACGTCTGACCTCTGTGATTGCCAACAAGGGCTTTGCCACCAAGTACTAAGTCATGTTTTGCAGAGGGGTCAAATACTTATTTCCCTCATTAAAATGCAAATCAATTCATAACATTTTTGACATGCGTTTTTCTGAATTTTGTTGTTGTTATTCTGTCTCTCACTGTTCAAATAAACCTACCATTAAAATTATAGACTGATCATGTCTTTGTCAGTGGGCAAACATACAAAATCAGCAGGGGATCAAATACTTTTTTCCCTAACTGTATGTGTTTGTGTGTTAGTGTGCTGATATGATGTGTTTCTCTGGTATTAAGGAAGTCAGGACGCAAGAATACAAATAACTCTTAGATGGAGATTTGTTACAATGTATTTAATTATATGGACCCGGATTCAACATAACAAGCTGCAAGTGAGTTGCCTCTTGCTATCAGAATGAGAGACAAAGAAATCTCTCAGTTTATATACTATAAGATAAACAAGTTTTAACCAACATCTGGCAACTATCACTGGAAGACCATCCCAACCGAGATGGTACCAGTCGGCACCCCAGACGGGACAGTCCCTCTATAACTAATTCTAAGATAGATAACCGTGGTTCCTTCAGACTTCCTGGCTCCCAGAGTGACATGATAAAATGGATTAAACACATTCCCAAATCCTGTGTAAACACCTAATATCATGTGCACTATGCACCTTGCCAGTCCGTGAAGCCTCTTGTTAAGAGGCATTGTCTTTTTCTCATTCTTAAGAGGCATTGTCTTTTTCCACAAGGGAACAGGACCCGGTTTCCCAAAAGCATCTTAAGGCTAAGTTCATCGTGGTTCTAATGATGAACTTAGCCTTAAGATGCTTTTGGTAAACCAGGCCCAGATAGAAATAGAATTTGTACACTAAATCCGGAAAAAACAAACAATCATGTAAATCCAAGCCGATGCTCCATCAATCTGTACATAAGCATATCATCATAACATACTAATAGATACGGCCCAGTACATCACTGGGGCCAAGCTTCCTGTCTCTATACCAGGCGGTGTCAGTGGAAGGCCCTAAAAATTGTCAAAGACTCCAGCCACCCTAGTCATAGACTGTTCTCTCTGCTACCGCACGGCAAGCGGTACCGGAGCGCCAAGTCTAGGTCCAAAAGGCTTCTTATCAGCTTCTACCCCCAAGCCATAAGACTCCTGAACAGCTAATCATGGCTACCCTGACTATTTGCATTGCCCCCACCCCCACCCCAACCCCCTCTTTTACGCTGCTGCTACTCTGTTTATTATTTATGCATTGTCACTTTAACTCTACCCACATGTACATATTACCTCAATTACCTCGACTAACCGGTGCCCCCGCACATTGACTCTGTACCAGTACCCCCTGTATATAGCCTCCCTGCTGTTATTTTATTTTACTGTTGCTCTTTAATTATTTGCTATTTTCTATTTATCTATTTTTTACTTAACACTTTTTTTTTTTTTCTTAAAAAACTGCATTGTTGGTTAAGGGCTTGTAAGTAAGCATTTCACTGTAAGGTCTACTACACCTGTTGTATTCGGCGCATGTGGCAAATAACATTTTATTTCATTTGATTAAAAGCCAAGTGTCCTGTACCTCTGGTGTCCAGACTGGAGGCCCGCTGGCTGCTGTCCAGCTTCCACTTCTTGATCTTGAAGTATGGGCTTGCTCCCTCCAGGCTGGCATGGCGCCTCAGTTTGGTGAAGAACTGCAGCACGGGGCCCTGCCCCACCCCCGTGCCAGGAGATGCACCCGTCACAGACATCACCGATGCCCCTTCACTCAAAGACGGACTTCCCCCATTCCTGGAGCCAGATACCATCACCTCAATCTGGGAGGGGATATAAGGGAGTTGTCCATATTGTGTGGACAATAACCTTTTAGTGATTGCAATACGACAGATACTCCAAGGACAAATGGAAGTTCATAGAAATGTGTTTTTAATCTTCCTCCCAAGGTTATGAAAAACAACAAAAATTCTATAATTTTCCATGCAACTGTTAACTTTCTCCTATCTATCACGGAGAGGGAGAGCGGGGCCAGTGAGCAGACAGGAGCGATGAGCAGATGTGGGGAGCAGCGATGTCTGTAATCTCCCCTGACGAGGCTGTTCCAGAGGCTCTCCCTTATTTACCCATCATCCTCCACCACTGTTGTCACTCAGACAGAGTGACTAGGGACACTGGATGCACACTCCTTACTTCTCTCACGGTTCAGAGGTTTCATGATAACCTCTTGGCTTCAATGTTCCCTCAAGCTTAGTGTGTGCTACTGTGTGTGTTTAACCCATTTGTATATTTGCAATCATGTCAATTATTCTCTATTTAAATTATATCTGCACATTTCAAAGCTGATCTACCCCCCCCCCCCCCCAAAAATAAATAAATAAATAAATCAGTTAATAAAATAAAAATGATATTGTCTATTCAGACTCATCATACGTGTGATTAGTGGCTAACTGTATTCCGTGGTTAAATTAATTAAAACATAAGGGTTTAAATTCAACCCAAAAATACTGTCATTCGGCCCTGTCATATGTAGGTAGACACTTTGTATGTGATGATGAATGATAAACCGAGTCCCTTAACGTAGGGTTCAAAACTGCACATAATATAAAATGTGGTTGATTGGTGGGTTGATTGACAGATAGGGGTAAGTGACTCACGCTGCTGATGCTGGGCTCCTTGGTACCGGGGGCCGGGGGATTCTCACTGAAGCTGGTGTCCACCACTGAGTTAAGGGTGTCCCCAGGGAGGGCTGAGCTGGGGCTGACACTCAGACTGGTCAATGCTGTCTGGGGCAGGGGACACTGGGGCCTTCGGGCACACAGAGCCGGCTACACACACACACACACACACACACGCAAACACAGAATATACACCATCAGGGCACAGCCAGGAGGATACACATACCACAGACTGAATTCTACATCAGGACTGGGAGAGGTCATTAGCCTAGTAGTTAGTGACAAATCAAGTCCAAGCAAGTTCAGCGCCAATGATTGAGAAACCTCAGATAAATGCAAAATCAATGTATTTGGCCCATTGGAATGAGCAGGCAGAATTATCCATGGGCTGCATTTGATAGGCTTGATACATGTTGTGGGCCCCACATTGATGGATGGCCTAATTGGCCCAGTCATGACTAATGATGTATCACTGCTAATAGCAGCACAGTAGACTGGCTTTCACCTGGAAGATGGAGAGGCTGGACTTGGCGGCGGGGCGGGTCGTCATGGCGATGCTGTTCTCCGATGACTCACACTCGTGGATGGTGACGATCTTGAGGGCCAGTGGCGGGATGTGGAGGTGTGTGAGCCGCGCATTCTTCAGGTGGTGGAAGTCACCCTCCGTCAAAGTGAACCTGAGGTGGAAAGGAGTTGAGAAACATGAGAAACAGCTCAGACAGTTGGAGGCTGACACAATAGAAGTGCCGCTGTCACGTTCAAGGAATGTTCTTCTATCTAGTCCTTGGGACCCGCAGGTAGTGAAGGCTTTTCTTCTCAACTATCACTACACCTGATTCCACTAATCATCAAGTGTTTCATTTGTTGGATCAAGCTTTTTAGGACCGGGCTGGAACACACTGAGGAATTCTCACTTCTCATTTGCATATCAGAATGATGTGGGGCTCATGCAAAGAATTAGATTTGTTACCTGTTGCCACAAGAAAAGGGCAACCAGTGAAGAACAAACACCATTGTAAATACAACCCATATTTATGTTTATTTATTTTCCCTTTTGTACTTTAACTATTTGCACATAATATGACATTTGAAATATATTTAGTGTAATGTTTACTGTTATTTTATTTTATTGTTTTTCACTTTTGTTTATTATCTATTTCACTTGCTTTGGCAATGTAAACATATGTTTCCCATGCCAATAAACCCCTTGAATTGAATTGAATTGAGAGAGAGAGAGTGAGAGAGAGAGCGAGCGAGAGGGAGAGAGCGCACGATGGGAGAAGGACTGACTCCTCTCAATGAAGCCACGGAAGTTCAAGGCCGACCTCGGTACTGCAGGCATTGATAGCAGAAAACAGGATCCCCCATTATAGTGAATGGAAAAATGGCAATCTTCTTTTTCTAAGATAATCATGGTACCAATAACTGCTTCTACTATACCAGTTATACACTACATATACAAAAGTATGTGGACACCCCTTCAAATTAGTGGATTCGGCTATTTCAGCCACACCCATTGCTGACAGTTGTATAAAATCGAGCACACTGCCATACAATCTCCATAGACAAACATTGTCAGTAGAATGGCCTTACTGAAGAGCTCAGTGACTTTCAACGTGTCACCGTCATAGGATGCCACCTTTCCAACAAGTCAGTTCCTCATATTTCTGCCCTGCTAAAGCTGCCCCGGTCAACTGTAAGTGCTGTTATTGTGAAATGGAAACGTCTAGGAGCAACAACGGCTCAGCCGTGAAGTGGTAGGCCACACAAGCTCACAGAACGGGACCGCCGAGTGCTGAAGCACGTAGCGCGTAAAAATCATCTATCCTCGGTTGCAGCATTCACTACCGATTTCCTAACTGCCTCTGGAAGCAACGTCAGCACAATAACTGTTAGTTGCGAGCTGAAATGAAATGGGTTTCCATTGCTGAGCAGCCGCACACAAGCCTAAGATCACCATGCGCAATGCGAAGTGTCAGCTGGAGTGGTCTAAAGCTTGCCGCCATCGGACTCTGGAGCAGGGGAAATGCGTTCTCTGGAGTGATGAATCACACTTCACCATCTGGCAGTCCGACGGACGAATCTGGGTTTGGTGGATGCCAGGAGAACGCTACCTGCCCGAATGCATAGTGCCAACTGTAAAGTTTGCAGGAGGAGGAATAATGGTATTTTGCTGTTTTTCATGGTTCGGGCTAGGCCCCTTAGTTCCAGTGAAGGGAAACCTTAACACTACAGCATACAATGACATTCTAGATGATACTGTGCTTCCAACTTTGTGCCAACAGTTTGTGGAAGACACTTTCCTGTTTAAGCATGACAATGCCCCCGTGCACAAAGTGAGATCCATACAGAAATGGTTTGTCGAGATCGGTGTGGAAGAACTTGACTGGCCTGCACAGAGCCCTGACCTCAACCCCATCGAACACCTTTGAGATGAATTGGAACGCCGACTGCAAGCCAGGTTTAATTGTTCAACATCAGTGCCCAACCTCACTAATGCTCTTGTGGCTGAATGGAAGCAAGTCCCTGCAGCAATGTTCCAACATCTAGTGGAAAGCCTTCCCAGAAGAGTGGAGGCTGTAATAGCAGCAAAGGGGGGACCATATTAATGCCTATGATTTTGGAATGAGATGTTCGACGAGCAGGTGTCCACATACTTTTGGTCATGTAGTGTATGTCCTTGAACTGATTAATTTAAAATCGCACACAGAAGAAGTAATAAGGATCATTTAGTTGCTAATTGCAGCCTGCACTACCGGTCGGCCTTCAACCTGATTTACTCAATGAGAGGGGGCAGCACTGAGCTAGCCTGCAACGTCACTTCCTGGAGTAGCTCAAACTGCACGTTATCAAAGATTGTCTATTATATTGACAAGATAGCCAAGTGACCGCTCTAACAATGGAAATACATGTCCCCAAAGATGGCAGGCACGCGGGAGGAGGCAAAATCAGGTGGGACCATTCTAACCAATGAGAGGGCAGATACGCATATGAACAGCAGGCCATAGAGCTAGAAATAGGACTCATATTTGTATCTGTGCCATTATAGCATCTGTGACAGCGCCATTGAGGCTTTCTTATTTTTCATTGGCTGATTGCTCCCAACTCATAGGAATCCCCACCCAGTTGCCTTCTTTAAAATGGTGGAAGCCCTCAATGGCAATGTCCATGCTAAAACTGGTTATATCCATGATGAGTCCTCTATCCATCTCTATGACAACAGGCTCAACTCCAAATAAAGTAGTTTTTTTCCCAAAGTTGCCGAAATGCCATGTGCCTCCACTTATATCAGTGCATTCGTAACAACCTAACCATTACAAAACTTCTATATGCCTCACGTAGCAAATTAGCAATTACATTTTTTGTTGACCAAATTCGAAACTCGCTCATTGACCTCCATAAAAAAAATCCTAACTTCGTGGGCTTATTTTCCTGGACAGATTTTGGACTTAGTAAAACCTCTCGCTTCGCCTCTTCCTCTCTGATGTTATGTCTCCATGAGACGCCATCTTAACCGACTTAATTTGGCTTTAATGCGCTATTGAGGCTTCACATAGGAATGAATGGTGTCATGTGATCGATGGCTTTGTCCATTCATATATTCAGTAATTGGAGGACACAGAGCTTTGTTACCATACCATACATTATGAAGTCATTTGTGGTTAACCCTTTACAAACAGAGAACCACATCCTATTGGTAAAGTAGGCTACACTGCACAATTATGTTCTGCGAGTATGTCTGCATTTTGGAAATCCTTTATGAATAATGTGTGTATAATGCATTTTCAGAGCATCAGTCCCTATTATTACCCTATAATAAAGCATCCATAACAGCTCTTCAAACTGCCTTTATAATGTATTACACAGATGGCTCTTAGAAATGTCTCCATAATGTATTCTAATGTAACAAAGTAAGAGCATCTTTTCACCGGTTTTAAACACACAAACAGCTTGTTGCTAAGGCAGTCATTGTATTGTATTGTAGAATATGAGCATATTCAGAGTGGTCTACTGCGGGGGAGTGAGTGGGCGTCTGGCGGAGGAATCAGTCTGACCTGCGGCCTTTTTCCTGGGCCTTCTTTCCGTGGTCGAAGAGTGCCGACTCGTTGAAAGAGACGCGGCGGCCGCCCTGGGTGCCCGTGGACAGGAAGCGCTCTGTCTCCATGTCCATGTGGGAGCTGGCGGCCGATAGGCAGTCTGACTCGTCTACACGGATGGTGATCTCTCCTGGGGGGGGGAGAGAGGTCAGGGTCTGATGGAAGGTTGGTCCCAGGGAGAATCAAACCTATGATCCAGGCAAGCGCCATGCTGTGTGTGTGTGTGTGTGTATGACATTCACTTTTCAAATGGAACTTTGTTTGTTCTAATATATTCAGGACAAAGCAGATCTGATATTGTGTACTAAATGTCCCTAGCCTTAGGTAATTACCTTGTCTCGCTTAATGAATGCAAATGTATTCCTGAATTATCATACCCAGGAGAGAGCTGAGATCCTCAGATAAACCACATCGAAATGTCTGTATATACATGGCATGACTATGTACTGTAGCAGAGGAGCATGGCTTCACTTTCACAGAACCGTTTGTTCCTGGGTTAGTACAGTACATGGCAATATGGCCAATGGCCATGAGTGTTTACTTGAGACGCAAAGAAACCCTGATGGAGGCAGCTTCCTGCCAAAACATTAGTGACTTTAAATCAGTCATTTGCATTGGAGCAAGAGTGTTTTATTCGGCTGCTATACATTCTTTTTTCCAAGTGCTGACGAATGAGAAACAGGGGGTTTTGATTTACCATGGACTGGTTGAGACTCCTCCATGTAGCTGGTGTTGGTTTTCTCAGGGTCATCGCTGGCCCTGCAGCACAGAGGAGCACCGATCAATGCACAGACATCTTTACCCCTGAAGTCTACAGCTACGTCTCAAATCACATCCTATTCTGTATGTAGTGCGCAACTTCTGACCAGAGTTGCATCAAAAGTTGTGCCCTACATCGAGAATAGGGTGTCTTTTGAAATATAGCCATATGCTTAGCCCTAGACAGTAGGCGAGCTAACAGGAGCACATAGAGAGGACAAGCATACTCTCACAGCAAGGTCAATCTGACTAGTAGCAGCATAATCAATGTACATGTAAATCATGTCAGGTGACATGGAAACCTTCAGGGAAAATGGGCCTCTTGACCTCTTCAACAGAGAATGAGATGTCAGTTCTATACTATGGGTTTTCTTTCTAATACTAATACAGAGTATTATTTATACTAATAAATATTACAAGATTAGATCTCTACTAATACCTACTATGATACAAATGAAATATCTGCAGTTCTCTTCGTAATAATTTCTCTAAGGGGAGGAATTCTCCCTATTTTATTATCTGTAATTGCCCTAAATGCACTGATGCACTGTGTTTTTGACTCCCACCACAGCCTTATTCTGGAGCAGTAGAGCAGCTGAGATCTCTTCCCTGTCAGAGTGTCTGTGGTTCCTTTCTGCTATATTTAAGCAATAAGGCACGAGGGGGTGTGGTATATGGCCAATATACCACAGCTAAGGGCTGTTCTTAGGCACGATGCAACAAGGATGACTTATTGCTATTATAAACTGGTTACCAATGTAATTAAAGTAGTAAAAATACATGTTTTGTCATACCCGTGGTATACGGTCTGATATACCAAGGCTGTCAGCCATTCACCATTCATGGTTCGAACCACCCAGTTCATAATATCTGTATGAGAATGACTTGAGGGATTTCTCTGGCCGCCCGGCTCTGTGCTTTCATTTCCTCTGTGCTCTCTGCCTGGCCTGTGTGTGTGTGTGTGTGTGTGTGTGTGTGTGTGTGTGTGTGTGTGTGTGTGTGTGTGTGTGTGTGTGTGTGTGTGTGTGTGTGTGTGTGTGTGTGTGTGTGTGTGTGTGTGTGTGTGTGTGTGTGTGTGTGTGTGTGTGTGTGTGTGTGTGTGTGTGTGTGTGTGTGTGTGTGTGTGTGTGTGTGCGTGTGCGTGTGCGTGTGTGTGCGTGTGTGTGTGTGTGCTGTAGCTAGAGTTTATGACAGTGTGAGACGCAAGATTAATCAGCGTTGATGGCTGCTATGAAATCTCATTACACTCATCATTTGTACCAGTCTGCACTACTCTACCCCGGCAGCCTGCAGCCTGCCACTGTCTGACTACCCCGGCAGCCTGCAGCCTGCCACTATCTGACTCTGCTGCTGTGTACTGAAAAGAGAGGAGCATGGAAATGGAATAAACATATCATATACAAACAGAATAGAATTCTGTATCTCTCAGACATAACATCTACAGAAAATGAGCTACTTCTGAATGAAGACGATTAATAATCACTTACAAATGAATATACACATAAAATGCTGTAGTGATGTTTCCATGTTAGATCAACAGTGGTCTCTAGACAGACAACATAACTCAATAATAGCTGAATGCACTGTACAGTCTTTTTTTTTTTTTTTTTTACCATACTTACATCATGCATTGTTACATCTCTGCATGCACTCTTTATGTCAGAGGGATGGACACACATGTGCATGTAGTGTATTGTATTGTGCCCCAGTTCTAATCATGACAGGGTGTGATGGTTTGGTAAACACAGGATTTGAATGGTCTCCATCTCACTCATAGTCATGCATAGTTACATCACTAAACCATGCAGACCAGTGCAGTGGTTCCCAACCTTTTTTGATTACAGTACCACCAACTTAATTTTGCTCTGCCCGGATTACCCCCTCATGTGCATTTTACCACTAAGCCTATGTTCTCATGAGTCTTCTCAAGTACCCTGTGTGGATAGGCCAAGTACCCCCATGGGCCTAGTACCCCTGGTTGGGAACCACTGGACTAGTGGTCTGACCTGGCATGGCGGCAGTCTCCATCACAGCAGCGTCTGCAGATGATCAGCAGGACAGACAGCAGGACCAGGAAAATGGACAGGAGCACCAGCAGCAGGACGTAACCATCCTGTTGTTTACCAGGCTCAAATGAGACCCCCTGGAAAAACATGGGAGAGAGGATGAGGGAAAGCGGGAACTGTAGAGACTACAGTGAATGCTGCAGGGATGTGAAGGACTGATGGAAGAATAGAATAGAATAGAACTAATCAAGGTGGTTAAACCAGGGATAAAAAGAAAAGAACCCTTGGAACTTTAAAACATGCACCCCTTAAGACAATTACATTTCATCTCCATCTATTATTGAATCTATTGTTTTAGATTGAGGTTTGGTAGATCATACCCTGCCTGTGTGTCATGCTACTGTGGTTAGCAGTGAGTGGGCGGAAGGAGAGCGGGGAGGGTGGAGGGTGAGGGGGCACAGGTGTGCTCATTGTTCTGGGGTTGAGGTGATAAGTGCGCGGCTATAAGATCCTGAGAGGTATGGGGGTTTACTGAGAGGGAGATGGGGCGGAGAACTGAGCCACTGAGACTGTGTGTGTGTGGAGGGAAGAGAAGTGAAAAAACACAGAGCCATGCATCTTCCAGCATGAACATCAAAGCCCAGAGAGAAGCCACTTGTAGAAGGGCTTGTTGGCTAACTGTTCCCCTGGTCCCTTTGTGAGCAGGCTATTCAGGTGAGACAAGACAGCAGGAGCGCTAAATGGAAAAAAATGGCAACACTGTACTACGCTACACTTCCCTCTGCAACAGTTTTTCTTTTAATTGCTTTTACTTGTTAGAGAGCAATTATTACACTCCATACATACTTCTACCTATTGCGTAAGCCAGGGATGGTTAGACTGATCACAAAAAAAGCCACATCTCAGTCAGGTAGCGTTCAGATGTGAAAAACACACAATGCTACGAGAAAGGCCTCCCCAAACAGCCCACCTTACCAATTACAGCATGCAGCTTAAAGCCATTGATTTACCCCCACTGGTTTGTGCATCATGAATCTATAAACGCCACAGAGGTATTAATCCATTGGGGCCTGTGCTATTAACCTGTCTGCACCTAAGATAGGAAAAGGTGCTCTTAGGGGCGGGCTGGAGCTGACTAAATGCAAAAGGGAGGAGATTTTAGGGTGTCTAGCTGTCTGACTAAGACACAGTTAAAATTTTATCAAAAAGGTCAGAGTCTGAATGAGGTTGGACTCGATAGAATTATGTGTAGTCTGCCTAAAAGCTTTTGGAAAAGCCAAGGCAGAATGCCTTTTCTACTGGCCAGATAGTAAACCTTTACCTTGCCAACATCACATCAAGTCACTCTGGCTCTAGGGAAGCTGTGTGTGGCTAATTGAAAACATTTTTACATTTTAGTAGACGCTCTTATCCAGAGCGACTTACAGTTAGTGAGTGCATACATTTTTATTTTTTATACTGGAATCGAACCCACAACCCTGGCGTTGCAAATGCCATGCTCTACCAACTGAGCTACATCCCTGCCAGCCATTCCCTCCCCTACCCTGGACCAATTGTGCGCCGCCCCATGGGTCTCCCAGTCGCAGCCGGCTACGACAGAGCCTGGATTCGAACCAGGATCTCTAGTGGCACAGCTAGCACTGCGATGCAATGCAATGCCTTAAACCACTGCGCCACTCGGGAGGACAACAGTTTAGAATAGCTGAACATTGGCAACTGCCCTGTTGATACACTACTATCGAAACAAATGCTTCGAAACTAGCTAGATCAATCCAAAACAAACTTCTGAAGCTTCTTTCATCCATTGCATTGTTAGATGCAAACCGCTCAAGAGAAGCAGCAGTACACAGCTGTTATACAGTGGTATGCTGCTCATGTAAGTCTGTTTAATACCACAGACACATAGGAACATAGTACCATACACTCAGTAATATGCATGTTACCCCAGTGTTAATGACCGCTGACACTGACGTCAGATTGTAATTTCTCTAAAAGGGGAAATTAAACTTGAGATTAGATCAGGGATATAATTATTTCAGGCCCAGACCAGGATGTTCTCTCTATTAGCCAGTCAGGCAGTATAGAAGGAGAACATAGTCAGCTCGAGCAGTTAGCAGAGCGTGCACACACAAACACACAGGCACGCACACACAGCCTCCCACAACCCCCCCAGGGGGTCTTGGCAGTGACTTACGGTGGAGTTCTCGGTGAGGTTGATCCAGACGGTAGACTCATTGCTCATGGTCCAGGCGAGCGTGAGCGTCCCCCTGAGACAACAGACAACAGGAAGTTAGGAAGCTCCTGGAACACACCACAAAACACTCAACAGAGATTTGGACACCAATTCTGTTTTCCCACTGACATCCATGCAGTCAGAACACAGGCAGCCGGGTAGAAATGTTTTTGTTTGATATATCAGATATCTACTGTAAATATTTCTGCAGATACTTGTTCCTCTTTAAAATAATTGATGAATATGCAGAAAAACTAAACAGAATAATACAGGCTAGTAACATAGTCATAGGCCAACTTTATCAACCTGTTATAAAAGTGTCTTTTAATCTGAACAAATACAGTTCAGACCATATAGCAATATATATGTACATATACTCTAACCTCAAATATTTTTCCATACATGAATGACTATAAATGTCAACATCTCCAGACATGAGAGACTATGAAAGATTGTGGCAAAAAGCAGAACCATAACTAGCTTGTGTCTGCTGAGTCGCCAGCCAGGCAGCCTAGCATCCATGCTGTAAATCATCCATCATCCATCCTCCCACAGCCCCCAGACTCCTCTCCCTCTCTCTTTCTTTCTCTCTCTCTCTCGTTCACATCAAATAGAGGCTCTGCCAGTGCCATCACATTACTGTGAGATAGCTGTGGTGCTCCAACAGCTGAGGCCTAATGCGTTCCCTCACACAGAATAGATCATAGCCATTAATGCTGCTGCAGCCTTCGGACCACACCGCATACAATCAATCAACACACCGTATCAATCAATGAAATGTATTTATAAAGCCCTTTTTACATCAGCAGATGTCACAAAGTGCTATACAGAAACCCAGCCTAAAACCCCAAACAGCAAGCAATGCAGATGTAGAAGCACACATACAAACACGCACACACACACACACACACACACGGATGAACACACACACACACTGTTACACATGCGCGCGCACACACACACGCGTTTGACATGTGCTGCCCCTGCTAGAGGGGAGCTGCCTGTCGGAGTGTCTTACCCTGATGGACGGCTGTGTGCAGCAGCTCTGGATGTTGGTCTCTTCCTGCTCAGCTCTTCCTCAGCTTCCTTGCTGCATTCTCAGCCTGCCTCTGCCCACCCACCTGGCTGGCCAGCCTCCTCAGGGCTGTTGTGTCCTCTCAGCATAGGGTTGCCTCTGACCAGAAGCTCAGCTGCTTAGGACGCAAACAACAACCAGGTACCGGCAATCAGATATACTGTCGCTAGCAAAACAATACATGATGCAGTTTCATTTTATTTATTTATTTAAAGCCATGGAAACATACATGGACATTTCCCAATGTGTTGCACACAATTGAGGAAAACCTTAACATCACTCAAGCTGGCTTTTATAGGTAATCCCAAGGAATGTATACTGAACAAAAATATAAAGGCAACATGTAATGTTTTGGTCCCATGTTTCATGAGCTGAAATAAAAGATCCCAGAAATGTTCCATACGCACAAAAAGCTTATTTCTCTCCAGTTTTGTGCACAAATTTGTTTATGGCCCTGTTAGTGAGCATTTCTCCTTTGCCAAGATAATCCATCCACCTGACAGGTGTGGCATATCAAGAAGCTGATCATTACACAGGTGCAACTTGTGCTAGGTACAATAAAAGGCCACTCTAAAATGTGCAGTTGTCACACAACACAATGCCACAGATGTCTCATGTTTTGAAGGAGCGTGCAATTGGCTTCCTGACTGCAGGAATGTCCACCAGAGCTGTTGCCAGATAATTTAATGTTAATTTCTCTACCATAAGCCGCCTCCAACGTTGTTTTAGAGAATTTGGCAGTATGTCCAACCGGCCTCACAACCGCAGACCATGTGTAACCACGACAGTCCAGGACCTTCACATCCGGCTTCTTCACCTGCGGGATCGTCTGAGACCAGCCACCCGGACAGCTGATGAAACTGAGGAGTATTTCTGTCTGTAATAAATCCTTTTTTTGGGGGGAAAAACTCACTCTGATTGGCTGGGCCTGGCTCCCCAGTGGGTGGGCCTGGTTCCCAAGTGGGTGGGCCTACCCATGGCTGCGCCCCTGCCCAGTCATGTGATTAATAGATTAGGGCCTAATGAATTTATTTCAATTGACTGATTTCCTTATATTTGTATTTATTAGGGATCCCCATTAGCTGCAGCCAAGGCAGCAGCTACTCTTCCTGGGGTCCAAACATATTAAAGCACTTACATTACATATACAACAAAAGATAAAACAGTACATCATATAACATTATTACACCACTACATATCTACAATACAAAATGTTTAAAACCACCATACAACAATATCACAATGTGTGCATATGCATGTACCTGTACCTTTGTGTGTGTCTCTTCACAGTCCCCTTTGTTCCATAAGGTGTATTTTTACCTGATGTGGAATAGAGTTCCATGTAGTCATGGCTCTATGAAGTACTGTGTGCCTCCCATAGTATGTTATGGACTTGTGTACTGTGAAGAGACCTCTGGTGGCATGTCTTGTGGGGTATGCATGGGTGTCCAAGCTGTGTGCTAGTATTTTAAAACAGACAGCTCGGTACATTCAGCTTGTCAACACCTCTTACAAAAACAAGTAGTGATGAAGTCAATCTCTCTTCCACTTTGAGCCATGAGAGATTGATTTGCATGTCATTAATGTTAGCTCTCCGTGTACTTTTAAGGGCCAGCCGTGCTGCCCTGTTCTGAGCCAACTGCAATTTTCCCAAGTCCCTCTTTGTGGCACCTGACCACACTACTGAACAGTAGTCTAGGTGCGACAAAACTAGGGCCTGTAGGACCTGCCTTGTTGATAGTGTTGTTAAGAAGGAAGAGCAGCGCTTTATTATGGACATACTTCTCCCCATCTTAGCTACTGTTGTATCAATATGTTTTGACCATGACAGTTTACAATCCAGGGTCACTCCAAGGAGTTTAGTCACGTCAACTTGCTCAATTTCCACATTATTAATTACGAGATGTAGTTGAGGTTTAGGGCTTAGTGAATGATTTGTCCCAAATACAATGCTTTTAGTTTTGGAAATATTTAGGACTAATTTATTCCTTGCCACCCATTCTGAAACTAACTGCAGCTCTTTGTTAAGTGTTGCAGTCATTTCAGTCGCTGTAGTAGCTGGCGTGTATAGTGTTGAGTCATCCGCATACATAGACACACTGGCTTTACTCAAAGCCAGTGGCATGTCGTTAGTAAAGATGGAAAAATGTAAGGGGCCTAAACAGCTACCCTGGGGAATTCCTGATTCTACCTGGATTATGTTTGAGAGGCTTTCATTAAAGAACACCCTCTGTGTTCTGTTAGACAAGTAACTCTTTATCCACATTATAGCAGGGGGTGTAAAGCCATAACACATACGTGTTTCCAGCAGCAGACTATGATCGAGAATGTCAAAAGCCGCACTGAAGTCTAACAAGACAGACCCCACAATCATTTTATTATCAATTTGTCTCAGCCAATCATCAGTAATTTGTGTAAGTGCTGTGCTTGTTGAGTGTCCTTCCCTGTAAGCGTGCTGAAAGTCTGTTGTCGATTTGTTTACTGTAAAATAGCATTGTATCTGGTCAAACACAATTTTTTCCAGAAGTTTACTAAGGGTTGGTAACAGGCTGATTGGTCTGCTATTTGAGCCAGTAAAGGGGGCTTTACTCTTCTTGGGTAGCAGAATGACTTTAGCTTCCCTCCAGGCCTGAGGGCAGCACACACTTTCTAGTAGGCTTCAATTGAAGATGTGGCAAATAGGAGTGGCAATATCATCTGCTATTATCCTCAGTAATTTTCCATCCAGATTGTCAGACCCCGGTGGCTTGTCGATGTAGATAGACAACAATAATTGTTTCACCTCTTCCAAACTGACTTTATGGAATTCAAAAGTACAATTCTTGTCTTTCATAATTTCGTCAGATATACTTGGATGTGTAGTGTCAGTGTTTGTTGCTGAACTGTACCTCAGTAAAATCGTAGAAATTGTTGCATGTTGCGTTTATACAGTGGGGGAAAAAAGTATTTAGTCAGCCACCAATTGTGCAAGTTCTCCCACTTAAAAAGATGAGAGAGGCCTGTAATTTTCATCATAGGTACAAGTCAACTATGACAGACAAAATGAGAAAAGAAATCCAGAAAATCACATTGTAGAATTTTTAATGAATTTATTTGCAAATTATGGTGGAAAATAAGTATTTGGTCAATAACAAAAGTTTCTCAATACTTTGTTATATACCCTTTGTTGGCAATGACACAGGTCAAACGTTTTCTGTAAGTCTTCACAAGGTTTTCACACACTGTTGCTGGTATTTTGGCCCATTCCTCCATGCAGATCTCCTCTAGAGCAGTGATGTTTTGGGGCTGTCGCTGGGCAACACGGACTTTCAACTCCCTCCAAAGATTTTCTATGGGGTTGAGATCTGGAGACTGGCTAGGCCACTCCAGGACCTTGAAATGCTTCTTACGAAGCCACTCCTTCGTTGCCCAGGCGGTGTGTTTGGGATCATTGTCATGCTGAAAGACCCAGCCACGTTTCATCTTCAATGCCCTTGCTGATGGAAGGAGGTTTTCACTCAAAATCTCACGATACATGGCCCCATTAATTCTTTCCTTTACACGGATCAGTCGTCCTGGTCCCTTTGCAGAAAAACAGCCCCAAAGCATGATGTTTCCACCCCTATGCTTCACAGTAGGTATGGTGTTCTTTGGATGCAACTCACCATTCTTTGTCCTCCAAACACGACGAGTTGAGTTTTTACCAAAAAGTTCTATTTTGGTTTCATCTGACCATATGACATTCTCCCAATCCTCTTCTGGATCATCCAAATGCACTCTAGCAAACTTCAGACGAGCCTGGACATGTACTGGCTTAAGCAGGGGGACACGTCTGGCACTGCAGGATTTGTGTCCCTGGCGGCGTGGTGTGTTACTGATGGTAGGCTTTGTTACTTTGGTCCCAGCTCTCTGCAGGTCATTCACTAGGTCCCCCCGTGTGGTTCTGGGATTTTTGCTCACCGTTCTTGTGATAATTTTGACCCCACGGGGTGAGATCTTGCGTGGAGCCCCAGATCGAGGGAGATTATCAGTGGTCTTGTATGTCTTCCATTTCCTAATAATTGCTCCCACAGTTGATTTCTTCAAACCAAGCTGCTTACCTATTGCAGATTCAGTCTTCCCAGCCTGGTGCAGGTCTACAATTTTGTTTCTGGTGTCCTTTGACAGCTCTTTGGTCTTGGCCATAGTGGAGTTTGGAGTGTGACTGTTTGAGGTTGTGGACAGGTGTCTTTTATACTGATAACAAGTTCAAACAGGTGCCATTAATACAGATAACGAGTGGAGGACAGAGGAGCCTCTTAAAGAAGAAGTTACAGGTCTGTGAGAGCCAGAAATCTTGCTTGTTTGTAGGTGACCAAATACTTATTTTCCACCATAATTTGCAAATAAATTCATTAAAAATCCTACAATGTGATTTTCTGGATTTTTTCCCTCAATTTGTCTGTCATAGTTGACGTATATCTATGATGAAAATTACAGGCCTCTCTCATCTTTTTAAGTGGGAGAACTTGCACAATTGGTGGCTGACTAAATACTTTTTTCCCCCACTGTATTTGTGTTCGTATATGTTGCCTGTATGTTAAGTAGCCTACTGTAAAACCATGCATGTAAATAAGACACTCATTATTTATAGTTCACCACCTGTCTTAATGCTGTTACATGCATAATCATCCATGATGATGAATCATGTCAATGATTCACAGTGTGACTGCTCAGTTGATTGCTTTGGTGGTAGTAAACTGAAAATGACTATTGCTAATTCTCCACTAGTCTTTTACATCTCATATCAGCCTTCTCTTCTCTCTCCCTGGATCCGCTGCATTCCTCATAAACTGCTATGGCAATAGACCTTTCAAAATACTTTGAATCACAAATGTTACCTTGTGTTGTTTGCCTTTGTTGTTATAAAGAGCACATAACATCTGAATGGATCGTCTCTTTCTGATATTTCGATATTTCCTTTGTACAGTCCATGATGTTGGGATGAATTGGCCTTGATCAACAGAAAAGTATAGCGATCGCTAATAGCGTATATTATACTGTATATTCCTATAGCAAGAACGCGTCTCGGTGCATGCCTGATCATCTACAGACTATTCTATCTCGCTAGTGTGTTTACCAGCGCATGCTCTAAATCCAACTATTTGAACTAAATGCATTTCCTTCTATTTGATTCTATTTACTCAAATAATTATAGAAAAACGGTCCTTGCGCTGCCAGCTGTTTCTATTCTTTCTATAACGACTGTCCGCAATATCATCGACTTAAACTGGTATTCAATCATAACAGGAGATTGAATTTTTTAATATTCATGCCGACAGTAATCGATTAAATAGAATACTAAAATCTCCTGATTTTAATGTGGAACCGATAGGCTAAGGTTTGATGTCCACACACACATGAATGTGCAAATAAAAAAAATGCAACTCACCTAATTACAATTCAGGTGGTCCATGTGGGTGTACTTAGGCAGAAGCCAATAGCGCCAAACCTTCGCCGAACACTTTAAATCTGATTTAAAAGCAAAAACTATTTATGAATGAAACCCTATGGCTTAAGACACACCCACCACCCCAGCCAGGGACGCACCACGTGACGTAAGTGATTGAAGAGCTGGAAGAGGCGTGCGCTGAAGATAATCAGCATCCCTCCCTTCAAAGGTAGGCTGTTTGGGAGGAGGGGGTGAGGGGGTGAGGCGTTATGAATAGGCTTCTGGTGGAACAGAATGAAAATATGTAAATTCACATTATGTTTGGAATGAAAAATTATAATAGGCCTAGAATAATGGTTGATACGTTTCTGAATGTACGCTATACCTAACATTTTTTCTTATTAATAATATTATATATAGAGTTCTAATATTGAATTATATGGGCTATACTTTATATTGAACATTATTATCTGAGCAAGAATGGTGGGTACTGTAGTATCAGGCTCTGTATTATTTTGCATCTTTTGGTAAGAGACAATCACACTGGAACTGATTTTGTTCACCTTGATGGCTCAGTTGGCACCTGATAGATCAGTGATGATCTTATCAATCAACTCATCAGTGGATCTTGTTTGACATTCTAACGGCGCCACCCCCTGGCTGTGAAATGTTGCACACTACCATGAATATGTCTTCACTTCAATAAATCTGTCTATTTACAACGGCAGATAACCAAAATATGAAATCTAACGTTTTAAAGATCACACCGAACGAGACACCTTTTCAGATTGAACACTGATGGATATGAATTTTAGAATTGAATGTGTTGACTCTAGAAAATAACTACATTTCCCATCATCCTTTGAACGCTCATAAGGCATTGTAGGTAGGTTACCAATGTCCTTGTCCTATCAGACGCACACTGTTTGACTGACTTCACGCAAGGGCTTAGGGATTCGTTTGAACTTGAATTATATTTATTCTAACAAAATGAGGGCAGCAGGGTTTCTCCGTCGCTCTCTCTCTGTACTGAGGCAAGCAAGATGCTACGCCGACGCGCCTTCAGGCTCTGGCCAGATGTCCTTCACATTTGCTTCCCCAACGCAGGTAAAATAGTCCGGGGAGTTGACAAGGTTTATGTTATGGGCCTATGGTAGCTTCCTAGCTATCTCTCCAATGATATAACGTCACTCTCTTATTAATAAAGACACATTATCCAACCTTACGCATGTAGCTAGCTAGCGACAAATGCCAGTGGCGTAACCACCGCTCAATGGCTAGCTAGTTTAACTTGGTAACGTTAGCAAGTTAGCTTACCTACTTCTGTATGTGGTGCACGTCTTTGTAAATTATGGATATTCTTCAAAGCAGTTTGGCATGCCTAAATTGTTCTATGCAGCAATGTGTCCCCATTCTGTGTTGCCACTTGCTAGCTAGATTGCAATAAATAACCTGCTTGTCAAAGCTAGTTACCACAATGGGTCACAGGCCCTTGCAGTTTCTTATTATTTCACCTTGGGACTAGAAAGGGATTACTGTACTATTAGATTGTTAGCAAGCATTTCTGATTGAATGACTAAGGTTGGCAAAATTTTCAGGAGTGTGCTGATTGCACCTTTTTAGTCACCCACATAACTAGCTAGCTATTCTGTTAGTTAGTTAGCTAGCTAGGTACAAGTTAGCCTAATAGCTAGCTAGATATCGCTGAAGTGCATCAGACAGTACTAGGCTATTTGATAGATATTTGCTAGTTAGTTGGATAAACAATGTCTTACCTAGTTACATAACTCAAGTCAACATTAAAGTTGAATTGGAGAGAATTCTGTGTTTGCTTTTCAACCGATGTCAGGCAGTAATGGCATATTACATTACATAACATAACTGCGATGTACCTTACCAGAACCTCATTGACAACTAAAATGGAGTAACATAACACCTCAGTAAATATGCATGGACTTCATTCTTGAGGAAAAAATATCTAGTACTGGATGCAGATACTGTATATTTCCACAGATAATATTGAACTTCAATTATGTTAAGAAAATCAATAACAGTCAATGTCCTGTACAGTAATGTATGTGTTTCTCCTTCTCCCAGGTGTACTTCAAGGAGACCAGTGTGAAACAGGTTGACGTGCCCACGCTGACTGGTGCTTTCGGTATCCTCCCCGCCCACGTCCCCACGCTGCAGGTCCTCCGGCCCGGAGTGGTCACTGTGTTCAACGATGACGGCTCCGCAACAAAATTCTTTGGTGAGATTTTGCTTGATGGTTTAGATGGATCAGTGGTCTGGTCTGATGACCTGTTAAAGTTATGATTTTAAGCATCAAACATAAAGGGCAAAGAGGAGGCGCATGCGTGTACCGATAGGACGCATGGGGTGTGAGTAGCTCTGTTTTGTACCGACAACTGTGGTTATATGTAGAAACCAGACAACAAAGTTTTAAAGCAAGCCTCTAAACTTGATAAATCAACATATCTCCAAGCAACTGGGAGAGTGTGAGCGATCAGTTTTGTACAACAGCGAACCAATCAGTTTGTAAAATAGTGCAGCAACATGAATCCAACAGACCATTGCCTTCTTCAAAGGAAAGGACAAAGGGCAACTTGGAGACGCAAACAAGAGTAATGAACAGTTAAATGATATCCAGGAAAACATACAGTGGGGAAAAAAAGTATTTAGTCAGCCACCAATTGTGCAAGTTCTCCCACTTAAAAAGATGAGAGGCCTGTAATTTTCATCATAGGTACACGTCAACTATGACAGACAAATTGAGGGGGAAAAAATCCAGAAAATCACATTGTAGGATTTTTTATGAATTTATTTGCAAATTATGGTGGAAAATAAGTATTTGGTCACCTACAAACAAGCAAGATTTCTGGCTCTCACAGACCTGTAACTTCTTCTTTAAGAGGCTCCTCTGTCCTCCACTCGTTACCTGTATTAATGGCACCTGTTTGAACTTGTTATCGGTATAAAAGACACCTGTCCACAACCTCAAACAGTCACACTCCAAACTCCACTATGGCCAAGACCAAAGAGCTGTCAAAGGACACCAGAAACAAAATTGTAGACCTGCACCAGGCTGGGAAGACTGAATCTGCAATAGGTAAGCAGCTTGGTTTGAAGAAATCAACTGTGGGAGCAATTATTAGGAAATGGAAGACATACAAGACCACTGATAATCTCCCTCGATCTGGGGCTCCACGCAAGATTTCACCCCGTGGGGTCAAAATGATCACAAGAACAGTGAGCAAAAATCCCAGAACCACACAGGGGGACCTAGTGAATGACCTGCAGAGAGCTGTGACCAAAGTAACAAAGCCTACCATCAGTAACACACTACGCCGCCAGGGACTCAAATCCTGCAGTGCCAGACGTGTCCCCCTGCTTAAGCCAGTACATGTCCAGGCCCGTCTGAAGATTGCTAGAGTGCATTTGGATGATCCAGAAGAGGATTGGGAGAATGTCATATGGTCAGATGAAACCAAAATAGAACTTTTTGGTAAAAACTCAACTCGTCGTGTTTGGAGGACAAAGAATGCTGAGTTGCATCCAAAGAACACCATACCTACTGTGAAGCATGGGGGTGGAAACATCATGCTTTGGGGCTGTTTTTCTGCAAAGGGACCAGGACGACTGATCCGTGTAAAGGAAAGAATGAATGGGGCCATGTATCGTGAGATTTTGAGTGAAAACCTCCTTCCATCAGCAAGGGCATTGAAGATGAAACGTGGCTGGGTCTTTCAGCATGACAATGATCACAAACACACCGCCTGGGCAACGAAGGAGTGGCTTCGTAAGAAGCATTTCAAGGTCCTGGAGTGGCCTAGCCAGTCTCCAGATCTCAACCCCATAGAAAATCTTTGGAGGGAGTTGAAAGTCCGTGTTGCCCAGCGACAGCCCCAAAACATCACTGCTCTAGAGGAGATCTGCATGGAGGAATGGGCCAAAATACCAGCAAGTGTGTGAACCTTGTGAAGACTTACAGAAAACGTTTGACCTGTGTCATTGCCAACAAAGGGTATATAACAAAGTATTGAGAAACTTTTGTTATTGACCAAATACTTATTTTCCACCATAATTTGCAAATAAATTCATAAAAAATCCTACAATGTGATTTTCTGGAAAAAAAATTCCCTCATTTTGTCTGTCATAGTTGACGTGTACCTATGATGAAAATTACAGGCCTCTCAACTTTTTAAGTGGGAGAACTTGCACAATTGGTGGCTGACTAAATACTTTTTTCCCCCACTGTATGTATGTATATATATATATATATATATATATATATATATATATATATATATATATATATATATATATATATATATATATATATATATATGGTTGAGAGAATGCCAAGAGTGTGCAAAGCTGTCGTCAAGGAAAAGGGTGGCTATTTGAAGAATATACAATTTGTTTTGTTTAACACTTTTTTTGGTTACATGATTCCTAATGTGTTATTTCATAGTTTTGATGTCTTCACTATTATTCTACAATGTAGAAAAAATAAAGAAACCCTTGAATGAGTAGGTGTCCAAACGTTTTACTTGTACTGAGATATATATATATATATCAAGTTATTTGTTAGTCATGGATATGTTTTGTGTAATTCTACAAAGTCTTTGAAAAAACGTAGGCCTATAGCTTATTTTTGTTTCCCTTTACAATAAAAACAGTGTAATCCATTTGATCAACTTTATTTGTAGATTCGATTAGTTATAAAGTCCAGTTACAGCTTCATTTGACAAAGTAGGAACGAAAAAGATGATAATTATATAAACAGCCAGGTGAAATTATTTTGTGTTCCTAAACAAAAGCACCAGTGCATGAACAATTGTAAAGGATGAAGTGCATAAATGGCATATTTTAATTTTATCGTACTAATTTTTGCTTATTAGACAGAGCAATGCTGCACGAGTGGTCATGTGCTGAATGCATGGACAGCACGGATATTCTTGGAAAAAGTGACATTTGGAAATAAAGCTACACCTCTCTTAATTATGAATTATTTCACAAAGGTAAGTGTAATAGAAACACCAGAATATGCTCTTTCTGATACTATGTAGAAATCAAAATGTTTCACCTGCATGTGACTCTGAAGGAGGATTTGATAGTGATGATCCTTTCCTGATGCACCCATCTTTTCATGTACAATTTGACAACTGATAGGCCAAATATTGTCACTCATCAGATTATTGTCAATTTAATCTAGTCTATAGGCTAACTCCTATAGTGTGAAATTTAGTTTCAGTATAGTTTAGGTGTAGTTTCGATGGGCCGGCAGGCTGACTGGCATCTTGTTTCCCGTTCATCAAGTTGGAAAGAGTCAAGGATATGTCTTGCATTATTCTAAAGGCCTACTGCAACACATAGCATGTTTTTATTTCCCTTACAATACATTTGATTAGTAATAGTTAAAGTAAATAAAACAGTCCTGTAACAGCTTTTTACAAAGTTAAATGTAAATAGAACGGAATCAACCCGCAAGGCACGCGCTGTCAAATTATTTGCTGGTGATAAATAGGCATAACTCATTACACTATTGTCTTTCTAAATTTAAATAATCCTCTTCACCCTCCTTATCATTCAGTTAGGCCTAATTTAAATTGAATTGTGAAGTAAGGTGCACAATTATCTCCTGTTCATCCATTTGTCATTCATTCAGTGAGGAGCTCGACACATTAGCGCCTAGCTGGGAACCAACAACCTACAGCACATTGTCTTGGCAGATTAAGTTAAGAATAGGTGTGAATAAACAGGGGAAAAGGCTAAAATACTTTGGTGTCAATTCTGACATAAGCAGTGTGAAATACAAACATTTACTAAAAGTCAGGAAAGGTGTACGGCAGGGTTTATTTAACGCTTTGTGAATATTTTTATTTTTTGAAAATCAGACTTCAGTGGCTGTTGGCCTATGGGGGTGTAGTGTTAAGTGGACCACAAAAAATATTAAATACTTAGGATGCTTAATAAGTGACAGCAAACAGCTAGCTAACTACACTTTATCCCATTTACTCAACAACATGAAAGCAAATCTAATTAAATGGAACAATCTTCCCATAAATCTTACAGGTTGAATAAACCTTTTTTTAGAATGGCATGGCTCCCAAAGTTTTTATCTGTTTTCGGTAATACCAATTACCCCACTGAAGACTCTTTAAATTATACTCTGCAATAAGACTTGGGCAAATAAAACTCACAGAAACCCCCCCATAACAAAATCCCCATCAATATCTGTCAGTTTAAGCTAGACTTGTTTATTTGCTTTGGATGCATCTCAATCACCGCATCCGCCAGTGTCGCACTTCCGCATCTGCGGTGAAAAGTAGCAGAGCTAGAGCGGTGTTTGTCAGACCATGACACATCCCGAAAACGTCTGAACAGTTTGACCTAAACTATTATGACCCCTCTATGGAATGATTATGCTCCCACAAACACAATGGTCCTCTACAACCCCCACAAGCATCATGGGACTTGTCTGAAGTCGGTACAGCCGATCTGCCAGACACGTCAAAACCTTGTTTCTTATGATTTATTTTGACTCCTTAATTGCATTTATGTATGTTATTCAATGTGTTTTCTATGGGCTTTAGTAGTAAAGGCCAACATCTATTTTATCAAATAATAAATAAATAAAATGTATACTTAAAGGGGTCCTAAAATTCAGAATCAAATGGCATAATGATCCATAGTAAAACATCTTAAAACGATTCCATATGTTGGCTTTCAAAGGATGGAGCTAAGAACATTAACAACTTCATAGTTATGAACACTAACAATATGGAAGAGAAATTAAACATTCTACAAAAACATCAGTACTTAAAAAACCCTATAGAACAATCCTTGGCTAGCTTTTCAGAGTTCTCTGATAAATTGGCCCACATGGAAAACTTAAAGGCATAGAAACCGTAAAAAACAGTTTTGATGTTTTCAAATACATGCAACTTAAAAGTTTTCAGTTTCGATCTGAAATCTTTTGGACATTACATTTTAGTCATTTAGCAGACGCTCTTATCCAGAGCGACTTAGTTAGTGAGTGCATACGTTTTCATACTGGCCCCCCATGGGAATCGAACCCACAACCCTGGCGTTGCAAACGCCATGCTCTACCAACTGAGCTACACAGGACATCAGAGCAATGTTGAGGGAATTCTAGTTGAGTCAGAAAATAATACTCATATGATGGGTAAGATGTATACAAAACCTTGCAGAAAGCCTATCCAACTGAATCTTTTTAGAAAAAAATCTAAACTATTGGAACCAAGACACAAAAATAACTGATATTTGCACAAGATGGAGGGAGTGTTGTATGCTTAATCCAGTATAAACTAATGTATTATACGAGACACAATTCACAAATTATACAGCACATCAGTCATGTCTTAAGTGTAAATATGTGACTCTGATTTTAAAGCCTTCAGGTAGTGCTATAAAGTCCAGAAGTTATGGGTGGAGTTATAAAGTCGGCTGTCAGAGGTTTTACAATATAAATGTACTTTTAATCAGTCTCTGTATATTTCAAGACCTGTCATATGAGGGTGGGTTGAGATACCAAATGGGTTGGACCGTACTTTTCTCGTCAATCATTTTGAAACTTTTGCTTAACTGGAAATCAAGTGATCCTCCATCGTTGAGACGGTGGAAGAATCAAATGCCTTTATCTGAATATTGAAAGGGTGTGGGTGACAGAAGGGCAGAGTGGAGCAGTTCGAGGTCATGTGGCATAGTCTTGCAGGGGTGATGTCGTTGACGTCTGTGTGTTTATTGTGTAAAATCTAGAGCTCTATCACCACACACAAAAATCTATGATTTGAGACAGGATGCTGCTCAGGATCGCCCAATCGACAAAACCCATAGGCCCTGGGCCCTAACCTTTAGGCACTTGCATAGGCTCAAACTAAAAGGGTTAGAGTTTGATAGGTGTAGCAACATGGATTGAAATTCCACCATTTTTAATCCTTGCACATGCATTCAATGTTGAAATTCTTAAGTGATCGCAATGGTCAGTTCCATATCAATAACTGGCCACTTTAATTTGGACCATACAGCAGGGGTCAGTCCTGTCTCGAATTATGGGGAAGATGATGACCTACATCCTAGACCTGGAGAAATTAACTTTTAGCGTAACACTTTCAAATGTAGGCTACTTCCCCTGGTTTGAAATCCACTACAACAAAATGGCACATTTGTATCAGTGGCTGCACTGAACATTTTTAAAGGGTTTATATGAAACAAGGTCATGGAGAAGGAAATGGACAGTAGTGTAAAAATCAAGATCGGTATGTGGATCCATACCATATATATATCCACACTGAGGTTGGAATAATATTGTGAAAATTATAATGCCCCTTTTTTAGTGTAAGAGCTGTTTGAAAAGACTGCCTGAAATTTCAGGCAGTTTTGGTGGGATGGAGTTTTGGCCTGTCAGGTGATATCACCTAGCGGTAAATTATTTAATAGACCAATAAGAAAGAGTCCCAAACCCCTCTGCCAAAAACAGCTCGTTTTCAGTTTTCCCCTCCCCACTCAAACCACTCTGACAGCCCTAGCAAAATGATTGCTTAAGATTTGTTCTTTGCTAAGAAGCTAATTTTGTTTTTTGACCATTTTTAATTGAAGCAATCAGTAAGTTGATATTGAGAACAGCTGCATTGGACCTCTTTTAACATGGAACATCCAGCAGGGGTCAGTCCTGTCTTGAATTGTGGGGATGACTGCATATTAGACCTGGAGAAATCTAACTTTTAGAGTAACTTTCAAATTGTAGGCTACTTCTCTGAATTGAAATCAGCTAAAACAAAATTGTGACTGAACTTGAAGAGACATGCTGTTGCAGTCCGTGCATGAAGGCAGTGCATTTATTTAATTTCAATAGAGTAAGTTGTCTATATGGGGCTGTATGATGGGTGGGTGGCTGAATGGAATAGGTTGATATACTCACAGATGCTGTCTGTTTTTCAGTGAGCAGCGGGTCAATCACAGTGAACGCAGACTCCTCGGTGCAGCTGCTGGCTGAGGAGGCTTTCCCCCTGGACCAGCTTGATGTGGCTGTAAGTACCCATCACCCACTCATATAGACCTATTCATTATCTCTATGGCAATGGGTGGGCAACTCTTGTCCTGCAGGCCACATGGTGGGCAGTCTTCCAGCCCACCACATAACACCTGATTCTAGTAATCAACTAATCATAGTTGTCTAGTTGTACTGCGATTAGGTTAACCTGGGATGTATTCATTACGGGGATCGTTTACCATTTTAAGAACCAAATGGAAGAAAACGAAACTGGGAGGCACCTACCTGAATTTCTCCAATAGGAACTCTCGTTTGCATTTTCCGTTTGGAGTAAACGGTTTCTGTTACAAAAGGTTTTGCGACAGACAAAATATTTTGCTACCGCATCGACGGAATGATTACACCCCTGGGGCATATTCATTACGCCAATTCTGTTGCAAACCTTTTCTTAAATGGAAGCAAACTAAACTGGGCGGGACCTACCTGTATTTGTCCAATATAATCTCTTGTTCCGTTTTTCAACTGGTTGGCTAATGGTTACACTCCTGGTGTGTGTGAGAGCTGGGCAGGAAGAAGGGCCGCAGAGGGATGCCTTACAACGTTTCCCATGCCAATGGGGGCAGAATGCTCTGGTTCAATGATTTTTAAGGGCAATCACTAGTTGCTCTTCATCAGAGAAATAACAATTGCATGAGCATTTCCCATCCTCTACATTAGGATGACTTTATTCTCTGAAAAGCTAGGCTAGAGAGGTGTGATTGGCAGCATCATTCAGCCCATGCACAGCCAGTCAGTCATTGATTGAAACACAACGATAGCCCTTTGCTCAATCCCAGTGCCCTTTATAAAGATGTTAACTGTGTGCAACTCTGCTCAGTCAGACCTTTGCAAAACTATATGGCTAAACGAAACCTTCCATGAAATGACCAAATCCCTTACTCAACAGAATTCCGCACTGCATTGGCTCAAATGTGTCAGTCAAAATATATTTGTGTGTGAAATGATGCTCTTTACTATTCCCAGCCCCATCAGCCGACTAAACTCATTCATTGTAGAGTTGCTCTTCCTCCCTCCCTCTCTCTTTCTCTCTGACCCTGTCCAAGAAGGGCTCCATAGAAATATGAATTTTTCCCCTCTGTGAGATAACAATGCACAGGAGATACCTTGCTGTTAATAAGGCAGGAAAGGTCAGTCACTGTTGAGTTCTAGCAGATGTGCCAAGTCCCCACTGGGAGACCTTTAACTCCCAGCTATGTTTGGCATTTGTAAGCTGTAATCGCTAATGTGACAAATGGCCCTTTCACAGGAAAGAGGCAACGTGAATTTGCTATGCTAGTCTCTCTCTTCCAGGCCTGCCAACATGCACTTAATTTGAGGTTAAAGTACGCTGGTACGAAAAACGACCCTAAAATTGTCTTCTAGTTCGCACATTGTGGTTTTTGACCCAACCGTCTGAAGTTGGAGCTGAGCCAATTGGAGGACTTGGGCGAGGAGAAAAAATCTCTAGCTTTACGCACCTGCCGCCCCCCTAGTCTTAGTACTGTTTTGCTACACTTTGTCCGTTGATACTACTGTGAGGAAAATAGGTAGGGAAAATATACGATGAGCCTTCTGCAAAATACATTTTCCAAATGTGGATGTTAGTCAAGCTCATAACCCCTTATTTCGTACATGGCTCCTTCGCTAAGGCGTCATTACGACGAAAGTAGTTAGATCATCATTAAGTCAACTAAGCGAGAACACTTTCTTGCTCGCACATGCTTTGATCTCATCAACGGTATTAGGCGCGAGCGCATTGGCGAGCAAGGAAATGTGTGGTGTTGCGATATTTCAGTGTGCGTGGATGGCAGAGAGCTGTTATGCTAATACCATCCTTCAAAAAAAGTAATGTTGAACTGTTTTAAAAACTAGTAGGCCTATGTTAATTAATCCGTTCTTGATCTGTCCTCATGATATACAGTACCAGTCAAAAGTTTGGACACCTACTCATTCAAGGGTTTTTCTTTATTTTTACTATTTTCTACATTGTAGAATCATAGTGAAGACATTCAAAACTATGGAATCATGTAATAACCAAAAAAGTGTTAAACAAATCACAATATATTTGAGATTCTTCAAAGTAACCACCCTTTGCGTTGATGACAGCTTTGCACACGCTTGGCATTCTCTCAACCAGCTTCACCTGGAATGCTTTTTCAATAGTCTTGAAGGAGTTCCCACATGCTTAGCACTTGTTGGCTGCTTTTCCTTCACTCTGCGGTCCAAACCATCTCAATTGGGTTGAGGTTGGGTGATTGTGGAGGTCAGGTCATCTGATGCAGCACTACATCTCTCCTTGGTCAAATAGCCCTTACACAGCCTGGAGGTGTGTTTTGGGTCGTTGTCCTGTTGAAAAACAAATGATAGTCCCACTAACCGCAAACCAGATGGGATGACGTCTCGCTGCAGAATGCTGTGGTAGCCATGCTGGTTACGTGTGCCTTGAATTCTAAATAAATCAGTGTCACCAGCAAAGCACCATCACACCACCACCTCCATGTTTCACGGTGGGAACCACACATGCGGAGATCATCCGTTCACCTACTCTGCGTCTCACAAAGACACGGCGGTTGGAACAACAAATGTCAAATTTGGACTAATCAGACCAAAGGACAGATTTCCAATGGTCTAATGTCCATTACTCGTGTTTCTTGGCCCAAGCAGGTCTCTTCTTATTATTGGTGACCTTTTAATAGTGGTTTCTTTGCAGCAATTGACCATGAAGGCCTGATTCACAGTCTCCTCTGAACAGTTGATGTTGAGATGTGTATGTTACTTGAACTCTGAAGCATTTATTTGGGCTGCAATCTGAGGTGCAGTTAACTCTAATGAATTTATCCTCTGCAGCAGAGGTAACTCTGGGTCTTCCTTTCCTGTGGCGGTCCTCATGAGAGACAGTAACAACATAGTGCTTGATGGTTTTTGCGACTGCACTTGAAGAAACTTTAAAAGTTCTTAATGTTCCGCATTGACGGACATTCATGTCTTAAAGTAATGGACTGTCGTTTCTCGTTGCTTATTTGAGCTGTTCTTGCCATAATATGGACTTGGTTTTTTACCAAATAGGGCTATCTTCTGTATACCCCCCCACCTTGTCACAACACAACTGATTGGCTCAAACGCATTAAGAATGAAATACATTCCACAAATTAACTTTTTAAGAAGGCACACCTGTTAATTGAAATGCATTCCAGGTGACTACCTATTGAAGCTGGTTGAGAGAATGCCAAGAGTGTGCAAAACTGTCATCAAGGCAAAGGGTGGCTATTTGAAGAATCTCCAATATAAACTATATTTTGATTTGTGTAACACTTTTTTTGGTTACTACATGATTCCATATGTGTTATTTCATAGTTTTGATGTCTTCACTATTATACAATGTAAAAAAAATAGTACAAATAAAGAAATACCCTTGAATGAGTAGGTGTTCTAAAACGTTTGACCGGTAGTGTATATATGGAGGTATTTTAATGGCTAAAATAAGGGGTTAAATACATGTCAAAATAAATAAAAATAGTGTCCTGATCTTTATATCTCTCAGATATAGGACAGAAACTTAAGAACAAACTTCCTTTTTATAAATTTTTTGACTATCTGTTTATCCATGTATGAAGCTGCCCCCCCACCCCACCCCCACCCCCTCTTTTATGCTGCATAGTCACTTTAACTCAACATGTACATATTACCTCAATTACATTTTTTTTCTTTTTTTTTTACATTTATATCATTTAGCTTTTTTTTGGGGGGGGGGGGGGGGGGGGGGGGGGGGGGGGGTTTAAGGGGGGGTAGAAGGATTACTTTATCCTATCCCAGGTATTCCTTAAAGAGGTGGGGTTTCAAGGCTGAGTGGGAACTGTGCTTCCGCAGAGGTAGGGGGGCCAGCAGGCCAGAGGTGGATGAACGCAATGCCCTCGTTTGGGTGTAGGGACTGATCAGAGCCTGAAGGTACGGAGGTGCCGTTCACCTCACAGCTCCGTAGGCACGGAGGTGCCGTTCCCCTCACAGCTCCGTAGGCAAGCACCATGGTCTTGTAGCAGATGCGAGCTTCAACTGGAAGCCAGTGGAGTGTGCGGAGGAGCGGGGTGACGTGAGAGAACTTGGGAAGGTTGAACACCAGACGGGCTGCGGCATTCTGGATGAGTTGTAGGGGTTTAATGGCACAGGCAGGGAGCCCAGCCAACAGTGAGTTGCAGTAATCCAGACGGGAGATGACAAGTGCCTGGATTAGGACCTGTGCCGCTTCCTGTGTAAGTTAGGGTCGTACTCTGCGAATGTTGTAGAGCATGAACCTACAGTATCGGGTCACCGCCTTGATGTTAGTGGAGAACGACAGGGTGTTGTCCAGGGTCACGCCAAGGCTCTTCGCACTCTGGGAGGAGGACACAACGGAGTTGTCAACCGTGATGGCAAGATCATGGAACGGGCAGTCCTTCCCCGGGAGGAAGAGCAGCTCCGTCTTGCCGAGGTTCAGCTTGAGGTGGTGATCCGTCATCCACACTGATGTGTCTGCCAGACATGCAGAGATGCGATTCGCCACCTGGTTATCAGAAGGGGGAAAGGAGAAGATTAGTTGTGTGTCGTCTGCGTAGCAATGATAGGAGAGGCCATGTGAGGATATGACAGAGCCAAGTGACTTGGTGTATAGCGAGAATAGGAGAGGGCCTAGAACTGAGCCCTGGGGGACACAAGTGGTGAGAGCACGTGGTGCGGAGACAGATTCTCGCCACGCCACTTGGTAGGAGCGACCGGTCAGGTAGGACGCAATCCAAGAGTGAGCCGCGCCGGAGATGCCCAGCTCGGAGAGGGTGGAGAGGAGGATCTGATGGTTCACAGTATCAAAGGCAGCAGACAGGTCTAGAAGGACAAGAGGAGAGAGAGTTAGCTTTAGCAGTGCGGAGAGCCTCCGTGACACAGAGAAGAGCAGTCTTAGTTGAATGACCAGTCTTGAAACCTGACTGGTTTGGATCAAGAAGGTAATTCTGAAAGAGATAGCAAGAGAGTTGGCTAAAGACGGCACGCTCAAGAGTTTTGGAGAGAAAAGAGAGAAGGGATACTGGTCTGTAGTTGTTGACATCAGAGGGATCGAGTGTTGGTTTTTTGAGAAGGGGTGCAACTCTCGCTCTAATGAAGACGGAAGGGACATAGCCAGCGGTCAATTACCTCGACTAACCGGTGCCCCCGCACATTGACTCTGTACCGGTACCCCCTGTATATAGCCTCCCTACTGTTATTTTATTTTACTGCTGCTCTTTAATTATTTGCTATTTTTTACTTATCTATTTTTTTCTTAACTGCATTGTTGGTTAAGGGCTTGTAAGTAATAATTTCATTGTAAGGTCTACACCTGTTGTATTCGGCGCATGAGGCAAATTTGATTTGATTTTAATTTCATTCAGGATCAAACCCATTTGAAATGAATTGGTTTGCCTGGCAGAAGCATAAAGAACAATAGGCGGTCCTTTTTTTGTACAATGTTTTTTGCTCAAAGATCCAGCCGTACAGGATTGGTTTATGCAGCTTTAGCATCGCTGAAGCAGTGTTTCCCCTGACCATGCTTACTGGGGCCTGCCGCCTAGCTCTGACCCCTGTCTAAGGCTGCGTTAACACATGCAGCCCAGTTATCTTTTGCCCAATTATTGACAAAATAGTTTAATTGATTGGTCAAAAGAGCAATGGGGGAACTACATATCATAATTGGGTTGCCTGTGTAAACGCAGCCCAAAAACTATTAGCCTTAATTGGTTATTCAGTTGAATGTAAGAAATACAGACTGTTAGTACTGTGCTAGCATATTTAGTATGCATGATGTCCAACACTTTACTTCATAGTATGGTTATTGGGAAATGGTTATTGTGTTTAAGTGTATCTGACATCTCTCTGGTTTCTAGGCTGCCAAGGCCAACTTGGAGAAGGCCCAGTCTGAAATGGCGTCTGCGTCTGACGAGGCTGTCAGGGCAGAGGTCCAGATCAACATAGATGCCAACGAGGCCATCGTCAAAGCCCTGGAGTAGGCCGCGGGACTGGTCTCTGTGGTACGTATTGCAGCCATGTACCTCTGTGAGGAGGAAGAAGTGTGTAGCATATGAGCTTCACATTCGACCTAGACGCTGTTGGAAAATCTTTAGAATGCATCCAATCCTTGCTCATATCTTCCTTGAAGCTATCACTGTGTATTTTAAAGGCTTACACTTGCCGAGCTAATCAGCTACCAGCAATTTTTTACGAAAGGAGACAACACATTGACTTAACGGGTGATGATGAGTTCAACATTTCCCAAGTTTATGCACATTTCAGCCAATCGGCGGAGGGCAGATCTTGTTGGCATGCTTTGACATTGCTAACAGAATTGCCATCATGCATTCTGTTTAAAGGAGAGATCTCCATGACTTGATCACTGATCTTGCGCATGTGAGTTCAGAGCCTGTTTCAGCATGGGCAGTGCCATTGAGTACTTTCACCTTTTTGAAGTAGGCAACTGGGTGGGACCATAGAGAATGATAGAGGCCTCTGGTGGCCAAAAGGCTGTATTGGCATGGGTAGCACCATTGAAGGGTTCCATCCTTTTAATGTAGTCAACTGGGTTGGACTTTCAACTTCATTGGCTGATCTCTTCTGGTGACCCGGTTGGAGTCATGTCCAACCGGGTCATCAGGAGGGATCAGCCAATCGTGAAGAAGAAAATAAATTACTTAAAAATGGAGATGGCCTTAATGGCGCAGCCCATGCTGTCACAGACACTATAATGGCACAGATACAAAGATGAGTCCTCTATCTATCTCTATGGGTTGGCCTTCCTATTTGTTAAGGAAGGATCACATAATTCCGTCCAGGTCATCAGGAGGGATCAGCCAATTAATTATACTTGTGAACCAACATTCCATAACATTCCAGTAAATCGCCAACCTTGGCTTTATACCTGTACAAACAACACACTCAAGGTGGCAGTATGCACCCTTTCTGATTTTTTTACCAACTCATTGATGTAGTAGAAGAAAATGTACTACTTTAAAATGGGGATGGCCTCATGGTGCTGCCGATGCTCTCACAGACTCCATAATCGGACAGATGCAATGTTGCGTCCTGTAACTCTCTGTAGTTCAGTAAGTATTCGAACAGGGTCTTTAGCACACCCCATTGTTATTTGTAAGACTGTTTTTATTTCTGGATCACTGTGTACTTACCGTAATTATATTTTCTCCTTTGTTCCAGGTAGCATGTCGTGTTGGTATAATGGAAATAAAAATTCTCCAACTCTGTTTCCTGGCCCAGTCAAGTCAGTAACCGCAAAATCTCATGCTTGCTTTGTACAGTGGAATTAAATTACCAATAAATGTATTTAGATTTACCTGCCAGTAATTTTCTGTCTTTTTGTTCCTTTTTTGTAGGATTCAATGAGTGACATTGTGTGCTCAATCTTGTAAGGGAAAAGTGACCAAACATAGATTTATTCTGTGTACAATGTGTTTTTCCCTGTATTTTGTGGTTGCTTAATGCAGTTCTCCTTTCCGCCACTCGGTGACAGTGTGTCTTCGTAAACCATGGTAGACCAGTCACAGCAAGTAGCAAACTGAGCTAAGTCTGTTCCTTTGTGGCGAGACAAGCCCTTTAACCAAGGGTAGCTATTGTATTCACATTTGTTTATTCGGCTATGTTGTGATTTCTCAAGTGTTATAGTTAATTGATTAAAGGCGCAATGTTATTTTTGTTCATACTGATTTTGGTGGTATGCTAGATTCTGTGTTTGACATTTTGGCAGGAGGTGGTTAGCTTTGGTGTTACTCAATGTCCGTAACGTATGTGGGGGGCTGTTGGCCGTGTAAAGGTCTCCATCACTCCCTCTTTGTCCCATGGCGTGGGCATGTTTGTACTGTGAGTCAATATGGTGACCTCAGGTTTCTGTGGCGCTGCCCATTCAAACAGCAAGTGGTGTGAAAAAGGCTTCTGATCTCGACCATAGGTTTCATCTTAACAGGAGCACTCCAGAGCTCTAATCATGTGCTGACTCAACACTTTCAGTGCTCCAACCACAACCAGTTTTATGAATGTCAACTCTCGCCAGGCCCCATTTTTTTTTTACTAGTGAGCAAGCATGTTGGTAGACAGAGGCCCCCTTGCACCTTTTATTCAACATTTAACTCTGTCATAACTACATTCGGACCAATGATGGAACTCTCACTTCATTGTTTTTAAAGTGTGCTCATTAAAATGCGTGTTAAACCTCCCCCCCCCCCCCCCCCCCCCCCCCCCCCCCCTGCATTTGACCAGCACAATTACACTATCCACAGACTAGACAGTGGAAAACAGGGATTGGTTTCTGCAGGCAGGTTATACTATACTAAATAGTATTGAGTACCAAGTCCTGTGATTCACAATAGTGGAAACACCAGTTTCCATTAACATGGGATATTTGTTTAAAGCCTCCACATCCTGCACACTCCAGTGTCCTCCCCTACTCGCTCTGTCTTCTAGGCAGGGGGCCTGTCTTCCAGCTGCACAGCCCCTGGGCCTGAAAGCAGAACAGAACCACTCCGAACAGGCCAGGGCCAGACCCGGGGGAGATTAAACAACACTTTTCATTTATTCTAAATTTATGATAAGGATGTAGAACCCCCCCACCACTACTCCTTAAAATAATCAGAATATAATAATAATAATAATATGCCATTTAGCAGACGCTTTTATCCAAAGAGACTTACAGTCATGTGTGCATACATTCTTATGTATGGGTGGTCCCGGGGAGCGAACCCACTACCCTGGCGTTACAAGCGCCATGCTCTACCAATTGAGCTACAGAGTACCAAGATGCTGCACTGTATGGAACAATGCATGTTGTGAAGCTGAAGCAGAAAATGACCCTGTTTTCCATGTCAGCATGCGAGGAGTTTGTAAATCAAACTGGGCAGTGCTACTCGCAGATATTGAGCATGAGATACAAAAAAGTTGGTTGTAAGCTACTCTACATATTAGTTTCTTAATGACTCCAGTTGGTGACGCTGTGGATCGAGATGTAATCTAGAACGGGATGTCACTTTCGGAAATTCCAGTTACTGTACACATGTCAGGGAAGGGGAGGACATTTTGGGGTTTGTCCTGTGGCATTATAATGAGATCTGAGGAAGCTGTAAGTGAATGCAGAGAACAGGGTACAGGGTTCTTATTGTGCAATAGCATTGCTCGACAATGTGTCATAACACGACTCCATAGGCTGGTTTAAATGCTGTCTGTCAATCCCACTTCGGTGCACCAGGCTTACCCAACTTCTATTTCATAGTCTATGCTGATATTGTGACTCATTTACTAATCTTGTTTAACCCAGAACAAAAATATTGCATAATTTGGTCATATCTACGTTACCATTTATGTTTACATAGTAGATAAGTAATCTCTCATGAACAGACCATCTTCAGCCCTAAAGCCACTCAAGTGTCTCTTGGGTATAAAGGGCTCACTGGATACTTGTTTGTAAGATCTCTTCATTGGTGCAAAACAAACAAATATAAAAGCAACATGTAAAGTGTTGGTCCCATATTTCATGAGCTGAAATAAAAGATCCCAGACATTGTCCATGCACAAAAAGCTTATTAGTCTCAAATTTTGTACACAAATTTGTTTACATCCTTGTTAGTGAGCCTTTCTCCTTTGCTAAGATAATCCATCCACCTGACAGATGTGGCATATCAAGAAGCTTATTAAACAGCATTATCATTACACAGGTGCACCTTGTGCTGAGAACGAAAGGCCGCACTAAAATATGCAGTTTTGTCATAGCACAATGCCACCGATGTTTCAAGTTATGAGGGAGCGTGCATTTGGCATGCTGACTGTAGGAATGTCCACCAGAGCTGTTGCCAGAGAATATTCATTTCTCTACCATAAGCCACCTCCAACATCGTTTTAGAGAATTTGGCAGTACGTCCAACCGGCCTCACAACCGCAGACCGCGTGTGGTCGAGCGGTTTGCTTATGTCAACGTTGTGAACAGAGTGGGCCTAATGAATTTATTTCAATTGACTGATTTCCTTATATCAACTGTAACTCAGTAAAATCGATGAAATTGTTGCATTTTATTTTTGTTCAGTATACTTTTAATGCTCAATGTACATATTAATATTTGTTTTGCTATCAGTGGTCCACTTGACATTTCACTATTGTTATTAATATTAATACAAGCCCATCACTAGGAAAGTAGCCAATTATGGAAAGTAACAGAACATGTAAGTAAGTTTTATAAGAGTGTAATTTGGTGAAGTATTCAGTAAGTGGTGAAAGTGTTTTGCTTGTGGCAGTTGGTCCTTTTTAAGACCGTATTGGGAAGTGCTGTATGAGAGTAAATGAAAGGCCAGAGCATTTGTTGAAGTAGAATTAGAGGTTTGGAAATTAAAAAGGATTGAGTAAAAAATAAATATTATCCACAAAATCAAAGTGCTTCCTAATTGCACACACATCCCCAACAGAGATCATCAACTGTCAATTGGATCAGTGCAGTCAGACACCAAGAAACAGAATTCAATCCATGTGTTTTTTCTGTGTGTTGCTACTAAAACCAGCAGCCTCCTGTATAGCCTGGTCAAGCACGGCCAAGTGTGCTTCACTGCTCTGCACTGAGAGGTGGCAGAGGGCTGAGCTGATTGAAGTACCTGACCTTTTGGTGGTTCTGTGTATCGAGGGGGCCTGCAGACTCTGTCAGCTGTCAGATTCTGCATCCCGGCTGGGAGTAGGAGCTGGGGCCTGAGACGTGCCCACACCACTGACCCATTTGCGTCATCTTCACAAACAGCCAGCCAGTGGGCCAGCTAGGTAACGTTTCCACAAATAAGAGTGTGGGGGCATTTCGGAGGAAGTCGCCAATCCGTGAGCAAACACCTGCTGATGGCTTGAGATAATCAGCTTTGTGGCTAGGAGCAAATGGCCTTGAGTGGCATGTCACGTAATCATTTGTGTGTGAGTGCGTATATTGCTGAGGAAGTGTTTTTGGAGGATTGTGTTTGAGTTACCTTGTGAACACACACAGCCTTTCTTTGTTCTATGTTGTTCAAAGCTCTTCATCCACTTTCTAGAGAAAGCCCAGGTGGGCAGCATTTACTTGCATGTCATGTCACTGCATGTTTGCATTATGCATTGAGCTCTGAATCATTGCTTTGTCTGATTTTTCTTGGCCTCTCTTCAATGAAATGTTTTAAAAAATCATTCAGTTGTGTGATCATGCCAACATCAAAACACAGCTTCCACACCTTTACTTTACAGACACTGCTTGAGTTCCACTGAACTGTCTCTCTTTCTCTCTGAGGTTGTGCAATACAAAATGGCTGAAAGGATGTCTTTCTGTCTGGGGCTAGGCGTGATTGTGTTGTGACTTGGCTGGGGTCGATGTGTAAAATATCCCTGGGGCAGCTGACAATGATTTTTGTGTCTGTGTTTCATTCCACTATGACGGGTGTCACATTCTGGAGGGATGAGGGGAGTGCCAGGGTGAGGCTGTGGGCACAGGGGTCTGTAAGTACATTAACCCCCTCCACTTACTAGCACTTGTGTGATTCACTGTGTAAGTGGGGGGAGAGATCATTGAGGCAAGCAGCATGTCATTTCATGCTCCCACTAAAATAGTAGGCCTATTTTGATTTAGTCAATAAATAGGCTGGTAGGAAATTACTTTGCAGCAGCGCTAAAAATATCATAACGTTGCCCCAACGTTGTTAATTTGCCAAGCCATTCATGTCCATTTGGCCAATGACGTCATTATGTTGGGAGGGAGAGGGGACTTTGCGATGAGCGAACGCTTTCATGTTTTTGTATGTCCTAGTGACCTTTTTATCCTGTGATGGGTTGTCATTACTGATCACACACAGTCAATTCGACATGTTATTCACAGCGTATTGCTACCATTATACTGCATGGCGGCCTGGCCCAATGGGAGAGCCTCTTCTAGGGCGGCAGGTAGCCTAGCGGTTAGAGCATTGGGCCAGTAACTGAAAGGTAGCTGGTTCGAATACCCGAGCCGACAAGTTGAAAAATCTGTCAATGTGCCCTTGAGCAAGGCGCTAACCCTAATTTGCTCCAGGGGCGCCTTACTACTATGGCTGACCCTGTAAAACAACACATTTCACAGCACCTATCCGGTGTATGTCACAAAACATATATATACACACAGTACCAGTCCAAAGTTTGGACACACCTACTCATTCCAGGGTTTTTCTATATAATAACACATATGGAATCATGTAGTAACCAAAAAAGTGTTTAAAGAAATCTAAATATATTTTATATTTGAGATTCTTCAAAGTAGTCAAGAAACACGAGCAATGGACATTAGACCGGTGGAAATCTGTCCTGATTAGTCCAAATGTGAGATTTTCGGTTCCAACTGCCGTGTCTTTGTGAGATGCGGAGTAGGTGAAAGGATGATCTCCGCATGTGTGGTTCCCACCGTGAAGCATGGAGGAGTAGGTGTGATGGTGTGGGGGTGCTTTGCTGGTGACACTGTGATTTATTTAGAATTCAAGGCACGCTTAACCAGCATGGCTACCACAGCATTCTGCAGCGATATGCCATCCCATCTGGTTTGCGCTTAGTGGGACTGTCATTTGTTTTTCAACAGGACTATGACCCAACAAACCTCCAGGCTGTATAAGGGCTATTTGACCAAGAAGTGGAGTGCTGCATCAGATGACCTGGCTTCCGCAATCACCCAA